AAAATTTTATGAGAATTAAAACAATGTTATTTTTAAGATTAATATGCAGTCAGAAAGTTTTATAATTATTATTTATTGTAAATTTATCAGAAAAACTCATTATTTTTTGCATTTTTATCGTAATAGAACACTTAAATAGAAATCATAGTAATCATTTCTAAGTAATTTTTGATATTTAAAAAGATTCTACTATTGAAATATCCAGAACTGAATTAATTTTAATGATTTACTTTAACTAAAAAAAAAAAAGTTAATATTTTGAATCCCTCTTGTGGGCAGGTAAAGGGTTAGATTTATAAAAAAAACCAAATGATAGATAAAGACATGCATCTAAATAAAAAAAAATATACTGATTTGGTCATTTTTGATAAAGTTATAACAATTAACAAAGTTATAAGTTTTATACACTGGACTACAAGGAACTTCCATCAGAAACAAAAATATACTATTCTAAATCAACTTTTCGCGATGTTTTAAAATGTGCAATTAGACTTTTTCTATAACTTCTAAGTTTTAATATTATTAAAAAATAGTTTTTACATATAAAAAAAAATAATTAAGAACAAAAAAAATTGTTTTAAATTAATACTGATTTGATATAATATTTAATATTAATTTGATTATTAATAAGTTAAAAATAAGGAAAATGACATATTTAACCTATTTTGTTAATCGTTTAAAGTTGATTGTTGTAAATGTTTATAATAAAAAAAAAAAATTTATTTTACCATAACTTTTAGCTCAATTGGTAAGTTTGACATTGACATAATTAAATAGAAAATTTTATGACAATTAAAAAAATTGTATCGTTAAGATCAATATGCAGTCAGAAAGTTTTATAATTACTATTTATTGTAAATTTATCAGAAAAGCTCAATATTTTTTTGCATTTTTATGGTAATAGATAACTTAAATAGAAGTAATAGTAATAATTTCCTAGGAACTTTTGTTGTTTGTTGAAAAGATTCTATAATTGAAATATTGAGAACTTAATTAATTTTAATGATTTACTTTAACTAAATGTACCAATCAAAACAAAGTTGTTAAAAAGATTTACTCAATTGAGTGTATTATAAAATTTGATTATATTTGTAAAAATCAATTGTTAATTCAGGAGAAAAAACAATCATTTTTTTTAGAAATGATTTATATAGCAACATGTTACAAAAAAAAATTGTAATATTATAGTCTAGTAGTAGCACACACAAATAGAGTAAAAAAATTATTAAATTACAAAGTAAAATGATTTAATTTTGTAGTTGAAACCTATCATATCAAACTTCATTCGTTAATAAATATTTTGAAAACATTAGAAATTAATGATTTTAATTGTCTTTATGGAGACGATGTAATAACTAACTGTTTAATTGATAAATTAGAATTTTTTTTTCAATTTTTGAGAGTAATATCTTCAACTAGATACGAATTGTAGTAATTTGACGTATTGTTGAAAAAAGTAGGTCAAGTTAGAGCAGAGAAAATAAATGATAGTCACAAAAAAATATCTTCTCGGCTTTGCATCGAAGCGAAAACTTAAAATATAGTAAAATAATTTTAATACGAATAAGAAATTTCTTCTTGCAAGGGGCGACTAAAGTGATGGGATCCTTGATCTTTATTGAAGTTATTGAATCTAAATGTGATAAAAATCAAACGAGTTAAAATTTATACTAACTTAAAAAGAATTAAGAAAAAATGCAAAAAATTCATTGCCATATGCGGGTTGGAACCTCGTACCCCAAGCGTGTAAAACATAAATTTTACCAACTCGGCAACCGTACGTTGCTTCCGGCGGTTGAAAAATTGGCTATTTAAGCTAGTTCAAATTTCAAAGTTATTTTTCTCGACTTAAAAGAAACAAACATATTTAAATAAGTTTAACTATCTATACTATATCAATTTTAATTTATATAATATTTATGAAAATCTGTACTCCCCTTGTCAGGTATTTTAAAATAAAATAAAATACAAAACCCAGAATTTTAACACAAAAATAGCATATTTTTGCATACGGTAGTCATTTTTACCATGAAGACAAATCCAGAGGTCAAATTTTTTTTTTTCACATTAAAGTATATTACATAAGCTTTAATTTAAGATATATTTAAAAGTGTCAGTATTTCCGGAATACTTTCAAAAATTAAATTGAAAATATCGTAGTAACAATACGCATGTTTAAAGTTTTGACCCCCCTTGTTAAAGGGGTATGATCCGATTTACAAAAAAAGCGTGCCAGATGAAAGGGGTATATCAATATTTATTATAAAAAAATAATAATATTGATCCATACATTTTTCCAAAAGTTATATAAAATATAAATTAAATAAAATAACATATAAAATCGAGAATTTTTTCACGGAAATCGTACGTTTTTCTTTAACTTTGATGTCAGTTTTCACCACGCAGACAAGTCCATAGGTCAAATTTTTTTTTTTCAAATTAAAGTATATTACATAAGCTTTAATTTAAGATATATATAAAAGTGTCAGTCTTTCCGGAACATTTTCAAAAGTTAAGTTGAAAAAGTTCTACTTTCTATACGCATTTTAAAAGGTTTGCACCCCCCCCTGTATAAAGGGAAATGGTCCGATTTTAAAAAAAAAGTATGTCGAATGAAAGAAGTATATATAAAATATGTATCATTAAAGAATAAAGTTGATTATGCATTTTTTAAAAAGTTATAGCAACATAATGTTAAAAAATGTAAAATATAATATCAAGAATTTTTTCACAAAAATAGCATATTTTTGCATACGGTAGTCATTTTCACCATGAAGACAAGTCCAGAGGTCAAATTTTTTTTTTTCAAATTAAAGTATATTACATTAGCTTTAATTTAAGGTATATATAAAATTGTCAGTCTTTCCGGAACATTTTCAAAAGTTAAGTTGAAAAAGTTAATTTTTTGTAAAAAAGCTACCATTTTGAAACCCTTCCTGTGGGGTGTTAAAGGGTCAAATGTTCACAAAAATATATAAAATGATAGGTAAATATTTAAGGTATCTATAAAAAAAAAATGATATTGATTCGATCATTTTTAAAAAAGTTATGGCAATTTTAAGTAAAAAAAATTGAAAAAATATCGAAAATTAGCGATTTTTAAATTTGTAATTTTTTGGGGATTTCCCTCGTTTACGGGGAACGAGGGAATTTTTTTCAATTTTTGAGGGTAATGTCTTCGACTAGATACGATTTGTGATCTTTTGACATATTGTTCATCAAAATCGGTCCAGCGAGAGCTGAGATTGAGCGTTCACAGACACAAAAAAAAAAATAAAAAAACACATCATAGTAAAATTAATACCTTCTCAGCTTCGCATCGAACCTAAAATCAGAGAATGATGATGATTGAGAGATTCTTTTTTTGAACATTACCGTACTTTCTTAAGCCAGCTTGATAACACATGGGAAAGGGTGTGTGCCAGTGTGACCATTATAATGTGGTATAATATGATATGTACGAGGATCACAGGTGGTAAGGAAAATTACTTGTATAGTGAATAATCATGTGTGTATATGTAACACTGACCCTACAGATGTACGCCGCGCACTGTTTGAATATAGTTACCTGTGACCCTATACTCATGATAATTTTATTACGTTACAAACACTTAAAATTAGAAATGCATAGTTTCAGAGTTCTATCTTCTATATGCTGAATTTTTTAATTTTTATTAGTTGATTTATTAGATATGAACTCTTGGCTAAGCTGAGAGAAACAACTACATTATAATAGAAGTATATTTTAAAATAAATTGTACTTGAAATTTATATTGATGAATACTTTAATTATAAAATCAAAAATCTATAATTTTGTTAGAAATATAATTAATTATGAAAATATTTATTATTACTAATATGCAGGGTGATTTTTTTATTATAACCCACTCAATTACTTGCAGAATAATAATAATTTAAACATTTTTTTTTTATTATCTTTAGTTACACATTATTCTTGAATTTTTAACTATGTAATACTTTTTAAGTTCATCCCTTATGCCTTGGAAGAGGGTCAACTTTGTTTTTTTAAATGGTAACACATATTTTTAATTTAATAAAATGTTTGAGTTTTTAATTTAATAGTAAATGGCATTTGAATTTTTAATATAACTTAATTCGTTTATTAGATATAATCATTTAAAGTTTCAAATTTTTGAGTTAATATACAGGTATAATACACAAGGGATTACAAATACAGGTAGCTAATTGGTTTTTTATAACATCGATATTAGCAGGTACACAGCATTGTTATTATCAATTATAGTAAGGCACATTGTTATGAGTTTATAAATACACTAACTGACAATACAGAAAGTATATCTATTGATAATCATAATTGATAATAAACAATCCGTGACTGAGACAGCAATGTCATAAAAATCCAATTAGCTACCTGTATTTACAATCCCATGTGTATTATACATGTATATTAACTCAAAATTTTGAAACTTTAAATGTTTATATCTAATAAGCTAATAAAGTTATATTAAAAATTCAAATACCATTAATTATTAAATTAAAAATTCAAACATTTTATTAAATTAAAAATATGTGTTACCATTTAAAAAAACAAAGTTGACCCCCCTCCAAAGCATAATGGATGAACTTAAAAAGTATTACATAGTTAAAAATTCAAGAATAATGTGTAACTAAAGATAATAAAAAAGAAAAATGTTTAAATTATTATTATTCTGCAAGTAATTGAGTGGGTTATGATAAAAAAATCACCCTGAAGATTACAGTAAAGATTGATATTATTTTAAAGTGATCAATTATAAATATGAAAATTGTGTTTATGTTATTTATTCGTTCTTTTTTAAATTGAGAAAATGTTTATTCCAATTCCGGTTTGGCCAGCTTTTTTTACATACTTATAGTTGATATAGGTTGACTAAAAATAATTATTTTTTAAGGTGTATTTTATTATTTACTTTAAATGCTTTTTTTAAATTAAAAAAAAATAATAAATTATATCAGTCATTATTTATATAAATACACCAATTTAACTGAAAATTTTCATTAATTATTTAGTATATAACACTTATTGTAAAAATGGAGGTGAGTAATACACTTAACATGAAGTATTCGATTAAACTTTAAAAGATTATTTTATTTTATTCTAGAATTGGCAATTGATATTTTATTTGTTGATAATTTCCAGTTTAATATTTAACGAAGGTAAATTATTTTTTATATTATTTATGCCCATAAGTTTTATCAAGTATATTTTTTAATTGAATTCCTGATACATTTTCAAAAAGTTTTTAGATTTAAAAAAATTTACAATAATATGTAGTTAAATAATTTTTATTTCATTCCTCCTTGGGTAAAAAACTTAAACTTTAATTTTCATTAATGGCAAATATTAATTCCTATTTTTAGTTTGATAAAATAAAAATTTGAAACTAATTTGTTCTTATAATTATTATGTTCAATAATCATTCATACTTAAGTAATTTTAAGATTAATTATTTAAGTAAAAAATTATTTTTTATTTTATAACCATTTTTATAAAAATCAATGAAATAATTTTACATTATTATTGTTGAATAAATATTAATTAAAAAAAATTGTTGATATTTTTATTGAAGTAAAAGTAGTTGTTATAAATAATTTTCTAGTAAAATTTTATTCAAATTAAAATGCATCAAACAAATAATTATGAGATATAACCAATTATTATTTTTACCATTTGAACGATAAAAATTCTAGGAATATATTTTAATTTAAATAATTATATTTTGAAATTCTCTTAATAAAATAGTTGCAAGTAGTCAGTTTAAATAATCAAAAATTGATTTTAGCTTCTATTCTTTGAGGCTGAAGATATAATGGAAGGAAGTATGAACGAGAATTAATGCTAATACAGAATTATTTAAATTAATTTATTAAGATTTTTGTAATTTATACAGATTGCTAATTTTTTGCAATCATTATATTTCGCATAAAAATTGTTAACACATAATTAATTAAAAGTTGTACAGAATAATATTAGTAACGTACTATTCTCGATCACATTTACTTCATAGACTTAAAATAATATTACATTGGGAACTTAATATTTCAAGGTTTTTAAAACATGAACATTTGAATTTAACTGTTACGCTTATTAGATATTTTTTAGTTATATAGATCAAATTTGAATAAAGCAAAAATTTAATGAATGTTTTCATTTAGCGATTAAAATTAGATTTAATGTGGAAGACGAAAAAATATGCCAATTTGAAGAAGGGTCGACAAGATATGCTGCTACAAATGGTGACATTGATATATTAAAACTAGCTTACGAAAGTAGATCTGAATGGGATGAATATACGACCGCTGCAGCTGCTGCAAATGGACATTACGAATGTTTAAAATATGCGCATGAAAATGGATGCCCATTTGATGAATATACAATTATACTAGCCGCATCAAATGGTCATTTAAAATGTTTAGAATACATTCATCAAAAAGGAGGTCCATGGGATGAATATACAGCTACTAGTATTGCAATAGGAGGAAATTTAGAATGCTTAAAATATGCTTATAAAAATAAATGTAAATGGAATGAAGATACGACTAGATCAGCAGCTGCTTACGGAAATTTAGACTGTTTAGTATTTGCTCACGAAAATGGATGTAAATGGGATGAAACAATAACGGCAGCTGCTGCTTCTAGTGGTAATTTAGAAATTTTAAAATATGCACATAAAAATGGATGTCCGTGGGATGAAAGCACAACAGAAGCAGCTGCATGTGATGGCCATTTAGAATGCTTAAAATATGCACATGAAAATGGCTGTAAATGGGATGAAACAACAACAAGAGTTGCTGCTCAAAATAGTAATTTAGAATGTTTAAAATACGCACATGAAAATGGATGCAAATGGGATGAAACAATAACGACAGCTGCTGCTTCTAATGGTAATATAGAAATTCTAATATATGCTCATGAAAATGAATGCAAGTGGAATGCAAGCACTCCTGCTGCAGCTGCCACAAACGGTGATTTAGAAATTTTAAAATATGCACATGATAATAGCTGTCAATGGGATGTAAGAACTACAAGAGCAGCTGCACGTTATGGCCATTTAGAATGCTTAAAATACGCACATAAAAATGGATGCGAATGGGATGAAACAATAACAGCAGAAGCTGCTTCTAATGGTTATTTAGAAATTTTAAGATATGCTCATGAAAATGGATGTCCATGGAATGAATACACAACTGCTGCGGCTGCTGCAAAAGGTTATTTAAACATTTTAAAATATGCACATGAAAATGATTGCCCATGGGATGAAAGCACAACAAAAGCAGCTTCGAACTATGGTAGTTTAGAATGCTTAAAATATGCACATGAAAATAGATGTTCTTGGGGTGTAGAAACCACAAGAGCTGCTGCTACTAGTGGTTCATTTGTCTGTTTAAAGTATGCCTACGAAAATGGATGTCCATGGGATAATGGCACAGTAAGGGCTGCCGCAGCGTATGGGCATTTAGAATGTTTAAAATATGCACACAAAAAGGGATGTTATTGGGATGAAGGTACCACAAGAGATACCGCTGCAGGTGGTTCTATTAGATGTTTAATATATGCTCGTGAAAATGGATGTCCATGGGATGATGGCACAACTAGAGCTGCTGCTTTAGGAGGTAATTTAGATTGTTTAACATATGCCCATGAAAACGAATGCCAATGGGATGATGATACAACTAATGCTGCTGCTTTAGGAGGTAATTTAGATTGTTTAGTATATGCCCACGAAAATGGATGTCCTTGGGGTGATGGCACAATAGCTGAAGCGGCTAATAATTCCAATTTTAGTTGTTTAAAATATGCTCACGAAAATGGATGTCATTGGGGAGATGGCACGACTAGAGCTGCTGCATCTAGTGGTTGTATAGATTGTTTAATATATGCTCATGAAAATGGATGTCCATGGGATAAGGGCACAACAAGAGTTGCTACTTTAGAAGATAATTTAGATTGTTTAATATATGCCCATGAAAACGGATGCCCATGGGATGATGACACAACTAAAGCTGCTGCTTTAGAAGGTAATTTAGATTGTTTAATATATGCCCACGAAAATGGATGTCCTTGGGGTGATGGCACAATAGTTGAAGCGGCTAATAATTCTAATTTTAGTTGTTTAAAATATGCTCACGAAAATGGATGTCATTGGGATGATGGTACGACTAGAGCTTCTGCAGCTAGTGGTTGTATCGATTGTTTAATATACGCTCATGAAAATGGATGTCCATGGGATAATGGCACAATTAGAGCTGCTGCTTTAAAAGGTAGTTTAGATTGTTTAGTATATGCTCATAAAAATGGATGTATTTGGGATAAAGATACTACTATAGCTGCTGCAGCTAGTGGTTGTTTAGACTGCTTAATTTATGCTCATGAAAATGGATGTATTTGGGATAAAAATACAATAGTTACGGCTGCCATGCATGGTCATTTATATATCTTAAAGTTTGCTCATGGTCAAGGATACGATTGGGTTGAAGGTACAACTAGAGGGGCTGCTGCAAATGGACATTTGGACTGTCTAAAATATGCATATGAAAATGATTATGAGTGGGATGAAGGCACAATTAGGGAAGCTGCTGCAAGTGGTTGTATTAATTGTTTGAAATTTTTACATAAAAAAGGATGCAAATGGGACAAAGGAACAACAAGTGGAGCTGCTGCAAATGGACATTTAGACTGTTTAAAATATTCTCATGAAAATGGATACGAGTGGGATGAAGGCACAACTAGACTTGCTGCTGCAAATGGTCAGTTTCGTTGCTTAAAATACGCTCATGAAAATAATTGTCCATGGAGTAGAGATACTATTTATGAAGCTACTCGAAATGATTATACTGATATATTGAACTATGTTATCGAAAATGGTTGTCTTAATTAGTTTTCTGTTATTATATTTTTTACGATATATTCATATATGTATATTAATTTTATACTCGTATATTCATTTAAGTTTAATATATATATATATATTCTTAAGCATAGATGGCATTTATTTTATTGAGAAATTTTTGTCAATTTACTTGTTTCAATTCCCTTTTTTATGAATATTGCCATAATCCATTATATCATATTAATTATTTTTTCTGTTCAGTTTAAAATCACATTAGAAATTGTTTTTTTTTATATCAATATAAAATTTAAATTCAAGCAAGATATTATATAAATTGAAAAAAGAAAACAGTCCTGTTGATTTATTTTTTAAGCAAAGCGCCTTAAGTTTAATTTAAGATTTTTTGATCGATGTCAACGTTGTTAGATGAAAAGGCGTAGTCTAGGATGATGGAGGGGATTAAGGGGTGATGGTCTGATATATAGAGAGGTTAAATTGGGTGTGGTCTAGAATTATAGTGGTGATAAGGGGTATGATTTGAGGGTATTAGTAAGCATCGGGTGATGCTTCCTCATTAATAAAAAACAAAGTTTAAAGAGGGCCCTAAATGAGTAATGAGTAATATAACCTACGTTCACATACCTGTAGATTCCTAGAGATTGTAGGTATGATGGAGAATCGTACCTACTTAGTGATTAGTGTAGAGGGTGAATGGGGAGGTCTTAGTGAGACGCCCTGAGTTGTGTGTACGATTTATCATTAATTGTTTTTCACTAAAACATACGTCGTAGTAATAAACTTCATTGCAGTGTGCAGTACATTAAGATTAAGTAGCCGCCACCGCCACTATCGCCCTTAAGTATACTAACCTATAACCTTGTAAAGGGTAATGTAACCCTACGTATACTAGTCTAAAGTCTAGTGGAGGAGTAATGTAACACATTTCAATCCTTACTAAGCTGCCACAGTCACGGAGTGTTTATTGTCAATTATAACTATCAATAGATATACTTTCTGTGTTGTAAGTTAGTGTTTTTATAAATTCACAATAATGTACCTTACTACCATTGATAATTAATGCCGTGTATCTGTGAATATCGACGTCATAAAAAAACAATTAGTTTGTAACGTCACAAATTCGACGGTGGACCGTTTATAATTTTTTATGTCTACATATTTATTTTATCACGCAAGAGAATGCGCGAATGAACCTTTTTCTGATACAGCGGTGTCAATTGCTCATTATTTTTGCGGCTGACCGCTAGATAAGGCGACAAAAGAGAATAAATATAATTAAAATCGAATTGTTTATCGGTAATGATCCCTTATAAAAATACTGACCGTTATTGATTTAAAATTTCCGTTAGATCGGTGTAGGCTCTTCATCTTTATTCTGTTATTGACTGTGCTAGAAGGCACAAGTTTGTTATTTTCTTATACCAATTTTTTCTTTAATAAACCACGAGATGTTATAATTATTTATACATATAACGACATATTAACTTAAATTAAACTATTCATTAATTTAAAATTAAATTCCACCTATGGTCCGGTAATCATATCCAATAGGTGTGACACCTGGCCTAGGTGATGGTGACCCTTGTTTCTATAGCTAGTCGTCATGCAAGTGGTAAACTATGTTGTTGTTGTAAGCCACAAAAAGCCCACTTGCAAGCTACTGCAATAGCAATTTTAATAAAAGCCATAATAACAAAATTACGCAGCAACGCTTTCGCCATACATACAGTATAGGAAAATAGAAAATTGATTGGTACTAAGTTTATTTATTGCTATTACTATTACTTACCATTTTAATATTGTAATTACAATAAATCAATAATATCAAGTATTAATTATTGAATTTTATCTTAAAACCCTTTCACTAAGTTTAAGAATTAAATAACAATACTCAACACCGCTCGCCTACAAATTACACACGGTAAGGGGCTAACTCAAAGAATCTGTGACAGCGAAACTAACCGAGGTTACAACATTTATTTTATATAAAAAAATATTTTTAATCATTTTGTAATTCTCTGGAAAAGTTAAAACACTATCACCTCCTTATTTTGACCTTAGCCGTATGTTAATTAATATCACATGCACATAAAATACAGTAAAATACTATATGTAGAGTATTTGTAGTATTTCATTTAAAAAAATGATCTTAGTATGTAATATACAACCAAGGAGATAACAAATAAAGAGTTTATGTTTATACTAAACAAAATGAAATCTGATCCCACTTGTAAGTATTTTGTTTTCTTAATTATAATGTAGAAGAATAAATATATAAAATTTGAAAAAAAAATACGTTTCTGTTGTAAATTATTGGTTTATAATTGTCCATAAAAATAATTTTAAGTAAAATTAATTTTATTATGAAATAATTTACATAATATTAGTTCTCATCAAATATTTAATATGGTCCGGTAACGTTAGAAACAATGCCAATACGATCATTATTAAGATATAAATAAATACATTCTTCATCTTTCATATCTACACCATCATAATTAGGCCAGTTTTTTTCTCGGAATACTGTCCAATCATTATTTTCAGATCTATAAAGATAAATACATACGTCTAGATATTCAGAAATGGCAAACATTTCCACATCCCCACATTGACTTTGTATTCCTATATATCAAATATTATCTTTTAGGTAAAAAAAATGATGTTAAATATTATGTCATATATAAATAATGAAATTTATAGATATTACATTTATTTATATAAATACAAAAAAAGATCAATTTTACATCCTTTTATTTCTCAAATTTAACTTCTATAGTGTGGTTGCTCTGTTTCACATGTTAGGGTTCTTAGCTAGGCAAAAGATGGACTGGACGGATATTATGGCCGGCTTGCACCAGAGACAGACACCACCAATGAGAAAATCACAAGAAGAATCTCGTTAACATCCAAGGGATCGAATCCTAGACCCGGTGCGACGAAGCGTATGTTTCTACCCACTAGACTAGGCCTACCCAGTACATTTATTTAAATAAATAAATAATTTAACATAAATAAATGTAATAGTTATAAATTTAATTAATTTTAATAAAAATAAATATTATCTATACAGATCAGTTTATTATAAACTACTCGATTACTCACAAAATAAATATAACATTGGAAAATGAAATTTGATTTCTTTTAGTTACATATAATTCTTAATTTATCAGCTAGTTATTACTTTTTACTATTATCTCTTATAATGTATAAGGGATTTCGACATTATTATTTTAAATAGTAACATACATATTTAATTAACTTATAAAATATTTTAATAAGCTAGTTAAATATTTATGTTATCATTAAAAAAAAACTAAATTAACACCACTTTAAGTTCTAAGGTATTATTCTAAAAAGTAATTATTAGCTGATAAATCAAGAATAATATGTAACTAAAAGAAATCAAATTTCATTTTTCCAATATTGTTTTTGTTTTACGAGTAATCGAGTGGATTATGAAAGTAACTGTATTATTAATAAACAAAACATAATATCAAAACAAAAAGATAGTTAATAATCTAGCACAATCAATTAATATATGACATCAATAACATGTATCAAAAATGAATTGAATAGAAAATGAAATAGTCATAAAAATTCAGATTTTACAAAGTAAAGGTCACAATAAACATATGAGTCAATAACCATACGCGTGGACTTCAAAAAAAATTATGCGCTCGAAAAAAAACGGATTAAATTAATTTCTTTATGGTATCTTAGAAATGCCATTGGACGGATCTGGTAAAAATGTCAAACCTTAAGTCGTAAAACGCTGACGTCAACGAGAGTGTTTTTCGAAAACTGTCAAAATTTTAAAACGCTTGCGGGCGAGTGACATAAATTTTTCGACTTTCGCCAATAATTTTTCCGGAATCTTGTGACCGAGTACTTTCGTTAAAAAAGAAAAATCTTGAAAATCCGAGCATGCTAAGTAATTTTCCTAGAAATGCGTTTTTTCCCTTATTCTATTATATAATAAGAAAATAGCAAGTAATAGTTTATATTTAATATTATAATTTAGCACTGTATTTTCAAAAATTAAAGTAATTTTATACAAAATTCAATAAATAATTTTTATTGTGCGTAAAAAAATTAAAAAAAACTACAATATATGTAATTTTTACACAATATCTTATCACGATATTTATTTCAGTTATCATACGCCTATTATGTCTTTTGTATTTATAATATAAAATAATTAATAATAATAAATAAGTAAATTAATTTCAATTAAAAATAAAATGTTTAGGTATATTTTTTTAATTTTATTCCTATATAAACCCAATCAGTACTCTTAAAGAAGTTTCACTTCATCTGCGCGTACTCTTAACATACTCTGGTTTATTTAAACAAACGGTATCTGTGTTAAACCAAAACCACTCGAAAATCTGCTACTCTTATTCATTTAAATTGAAATAAAAACAAATTTGATATGATTTTTAAAACCTGAAAGTACCTTGATAAATTATTGGATTTTCTAAAAGTATGTCGTGGGTAAGGCAAACATATAAAGTATTATCATTAAAAATTTCCTAATAATTAACTTATTTAAATATAGATTGGAAACACCAACATTAGCTGTTTTATAATAATTTAACGTTTAGAAAAATTTACCTTTGTTACTAAATATGAAATGGAATGAGGGAAATTTTTCAATATTATGTCTTTAAAAGCTTCAACTAGATAAATTTATAATCTTTTGACGTATCATTGGGCAAAATCAGTCCAATTAGAGCAGAGTAGTTATAATAATGCAATTAAAAAAAAAGGCAGTTAAACCTAAATCTACTTAGCTATGCTTTGAAGCTAAAAATATAAACATTAAGATTTTATTATTACAAATAAAGTATTATTTGAAAATTATTCATACTTTCTTCTTCGACTATAATATACTTCTTTATATATAAATCAAACCAATCTCTTCTGCGAAAGAATGCTAAAATTTTTTCGCTCTCATTTAGTTTCTTTTTTAACAAAAAAAAAAAAATTTAATTTTAATAATTCAATATATTACAAAAATATAAATATTAAATTCTTTACTTCTAAAACATTTCTCTGCATTTGAGAACTTAATTTTAAGTTTTTGCATAGGTATTCTGACAAAAGTTCATATATTCCAAATTTATTAAAAAAAATATCAACTGGTATCATATTTGAAATAAACATTTCCCCAACCATAGATTTATTGTGAGTAAATCCTAATTTAACACATTTTTCAATTCTCCATTTTTCATCGACTGGATTATAATAAAGAGGTATATTAAATTCTATTGTATTATATTTCAAAGTTATTCCATCAAAGTATTCTACCTCTATTGGATATTTTATACCCTTAAAAATAAAATGAAAGTAATTATTACTAATAACATTAAAAAAATTGTATGTGGTTTAATTTGCAATGAAAAAAAAAAATGATTGCTTTATTTATATATTCATTTAGCCAAGTATATATTTAATGAAGTATAATATATATAATTACGTATTCATTAATAAAAATTTATGTTAAATTACCTCATGTGAAATTATCGGCTCAATTGTGCATATCAAACTTAAAATAGTGATTCTTTTTACAAAAAAAATCATTTTTTCATTTTGTAATATAATAATTTTAAACACTAAAACAATTTTGAATAAAATATAAAACTAATTTTTTTTGTTTATATGTACTCTCACTAGTCAATAAAAAATCATTTAAATTTTTGTTAAAGAAATTTATTTTTAGAATAAAATGTTTAACTAATAGTATTTGAAAATATCTATTTATAGTATTAATGGCGTTCGCTCAACAATTACCATAGTAATTTTAACTATGACAAAAATTAACAAATACAGAGTGATCAATTTATCATAAATGGTTTGGTTACTCGCAATATAAATACAAAATTTTTTTAGATAAAAAATTATTTAAATTGATTGAAATAGTGAAAGATTTTATAAAATCTCTAAATAAAATACAAACAACTAACTTCTCGTTTATTCCACACATATTCGTGTTTGATAATTATTATAATACTAAAATTTATTATGTTTTTTAATATAATGAAAGAATATTTCCAAGAGAATTTTTTCTTGTAACAAGAATATTTTTTTATAATTATTATTGCGGGAAAATATGTTATTAAAAACCCAGCATAGTGGGGCGCGGCACAGTGGTAACGTGGTATAGTTGGATCAAGTATAATGATATCTGACAGTGATTAAAATCACTATAAAATAAAAATGCTTTATAATGAGAAAATTTTTTTTGGTTATTAGTTGAATATTTTAACTCATACATCTGGTTTGTTTTGTTGTACAATTAGTTTCCAATCTGAATGTCTTTATTCTCTTGTTAAATACACGGCGATTGATTATGCCTCACAAATTATCTCCAAAAATTTAAGTGTTCTTTTTTTTTATCTCTTTTTTTTATGAAATATAATGTTTCTATCTTATGTTGCTCAATGAGTAAGATTACATTTTTTGATCATCCCTTATGCTATTGTAGTATCACATTTATTACATGTTATAATTAATACTTATATTTAATAAAATATATCACCAAATCAGTGTTTCCCCGTGGATAAGATGAATAATAAAATAATACCCTTACACAAGATTTAACCACCATCTTACGCATTCCATAAAACGCCCACGTAAAAGATTCTATCACATTAACCAATCAAATACAGCAAAAATATTTCAAGAGTCTCACCAGAGATCGCTAAACCAGTTTTTGCAAGCTATAAAAAGGCCATTTTCCCCCAAATTCAGATGGTTCCTCTGTGCTTCGCTTCCCTTAGTGTGGTTCTCTTGCGGTGGTTATGTACGATTTCTGAACATCCCTCTAGCGGATACTGGGACGCCTTGCCATTCTATCTATGCATCTCTACGGCTCTCTAGAATACTCAACCGAGATACAAAAAGTGAATGTGCGTGAGTTTATGTTTCATTCTTAGTTACAATTCTATATGAAATCTACATTATTTTTACCCTCTTTCGTAATTACTGAAAATATTATACATCTTATTTTCGGTCGAACACTTTTGGTGATATAAATATTCTAACACATATAAAATATGTGTGTTTATTTATTTCTTTTATTTACATTTATATTTATATATATATAAGCATATTCTAAGGTATTTAATTTGATTGAATTGTATCTATTACTTATTGTAAACAACCTGGCTGGACAAGGTAATAGTACAATAATATCATAATTAGAATTTTAGTTAAGCATAAAATTTCTTCATAGTGTCTCTCCACTTATCGACTAGCTAGTCTGATCTCTGCCACAGTGCGGGCAATCGGAGTGTAGGACACTAACAGAACTTATCGTGCATAAATCTATAGTACAGTCTCATCTAACCTAGGTCGTCCTACAGGTGATTGAAAAGAAGTAGGTCACATATCATAAGGTTCTTTGCATAAAGACAAAGATATTATTTGAGATCTCGCGTTGGTATATCCAGCTACGAAATACAAATAAATCAGAGTCGAAATATTATACTAAAAACTAATATTTTACTAATATATATATTTATAACTAACATTATACTAAACAACTAAAAGTGTCTCTCCACTTATCGACTAGCTAGTCTGATCTCAGCCACAGTGCGGGCAATCGGAGTGCAGGACACTAGTATAATTTATTGTGCAAAGAACCGAAATTGAGCTCGCATCTACCCTAGATCACTCTTTGGACGACTGAAAAGACGTAGGCCATTTGAAAATAGTTTGTTGCACAGGACAGTTATGTTGTTTAGAAGTTATTTATTTGCTTTATAAATTTTTAAATAATAAATATATTACGGTAAAACACCATATACAAGGTTAAGAACTATACTACATAAATATACAAAAAGTTTTTACAAAAAGACAGAGTTATAATAAACTTAGACTTCATCTTGGGTAGATTTAATATAGAATTGTACTATAAAAGTAGTTACACGCGAGTTAATGATAATATAAACCGTATAAATATAATTGCGTACATTAATGCGTAAACGTATACATTGATAGTTGTTGCATCAACAACATCATTCATCTCAAGAGAATATCAGGATAGTCAGAGGTAAGTGAAACATTTGTTTACATAATAAGTCTATAATAGATCCTTTACTGAAGAATTTTTTAGTAATAAACAATTAGAACAAGATAGGTCATTGAGAACAAACTAAAATATTTTTATAAAAAATATAAAATACTTGTGACTCGCCGGAAATTAGTGTACGCGTTTCTGTGCAGAAGCTAGATAGTGACCCTTCTTTGTAATTCCATCTTATTCATACATTAGACGTCTTTACGCAAGCATACATACCCCGAAATCCCTTTCTATTTCATTTTATTGTAGTCACTGCCGGGTATCTATAGACACTTTTACTTTCCATTGGTGCCCATCCTTTTTACACTACGCCCGCTACGATTATTATTTCCTTATTGACCACCTGTGTTACATTTCTTCCCTTTCACACACCGAACCCCAAACACACCTAACAACATTCCTTACATTCCTTTGCCACAACACATACTATCCATTTTATCTCGTTTTGTTTATTACATACCTACCCTTTTTTACTTTTTGTTTACTACAAGACCTACCCCTCCTACCTTTACGTCTTTTTGTTTATTACACTATAAATCATTATCAACTTTCAATTTTCAAATGGTAACCCAATTTTTTTTACATAATCAGATTAGATTTAGTTTTAAAAAATTCTTTTTATTTTATTCAATTATCAGCGAGCAATTATTCATTAAATTTTAGGGGACGTAAGTATTACTCACGTTGATTTATAAATGACACGCAAATTTTACGGGTCGTAAACCGATAACCAAAAACAATACAACGATAATTCTTATCGGTACACTAAATATTAATGTTACTGTATTAACCGACTACTGTTTTATTTGTTATATCCCCTAAACTTTAAATAGTGATATCTCGTTTAGAATTTATTAAAATTGATTTTTTAGCTTCGATGCGAAGCTGAGAAGGTATTAATTTTACTATGATGTGTTTTTTTTTTTTGTGTGTCTGTGAACGCTCAATTTTAGCTCTCACTGGACCGATTTTGATGAACAATATGTCAAATACTGACACTTATATATATATATATATATTTTAAATTAAAGCTTATGTAATATACTTTAATTTGAAGAAAAAAAATTTGACCTCTGGATTTGTCTTCATGGTGAAAATGACACCGTATGCAAAAATATGCTATTTTTGTGAAAAAATTCTTGATATTATATTTTACATTTTTTAACATTCTGATGCTATAACTTTTTAAAAAATGCATGAATCAATTCTATTTTTTAATAATAAATACTTTATATATATCTCTTTCATTCGACATACTTTTTTTTTACATCGGACCTTTTCCCTTTATACAGGGGGGATGCAAACCTTTTAAAATGCGTATGGAAAGTAGAACTTTTTCAACTTAACTTTTGAAAATGTTCCGGAAAGACTGACACTTTTACATATATATTAAATTAAAGTTTATGTAATATACTTTAATTTGAAAAAAAAATCTCTGCTCTACTTTCTTATCAACCACCCAACACTATGAACCATACATCATAGCTGGCCTCACAATTACATACTAAATTTAAAAAATTTAATTAGTATTTATTCATATATTATATTTTAAAATCAAAGAACTACTAATCGGGATATAATTAAAGAAATAAGAGTTGATGTTGCTTTTGGAATAATCCACCAATTTCTCTAAATGAAACACTATCTACAGACTTGCATCGAAACGTTTCTTATGATTTTAATCACCGTCAGATATCATCTATACTTTTCCCATCTATGCCTCGTCCACACTGTGCCTCTACCACACTGTGCTAACGTTTTTTTTATTTATCGTGTTTAGCATAAAAAAAAAATCGGTTAGAAAGTGCACTAGTACAATAATATCATAATCAAAATTTTAATTGACCACAAGATTTCTCCAAAGTGTTTCTTCTCTTGTCGACTAGCCAGTCTGATTTCGGACACAGTACAATCCATCGGAGTGTAGGACATTAGTTAATCTATTGCGCAAAGATTTAAAATTGAGCTCGCAACTAAAAATGAAAATCGAAAATATAATGTTCGGATGTAGCTCTGAGAGACAGTCAAGACGCCCATCTCCAAACTGTTAAAATACAGTGGAGGTAATGATAGCGCATTTGAACAGATGTGTATATAACAACAAATGAATTAATTATTTGTTCATACACGAGTAATAGATTATAAAATTTTGTAAGATGTGCATTGTAACGAAATTTTGCATTTTACGAGATGATGTATTATAATAAAAGGATCACATTCTGAATTTTTTGATATTTTTAGGCACAGTTTCTAAAAATTTTTATAAATAAATTTGAAAAAAAAATTATATAATTAAATTTTTTTAACTAATAATGTCCTTTAATGTGCGTAGCATTCGTAACGACACCAATATATTTTTAGGTTTTATAAAAATAAATGTACTTTTCATTATTCATATCTAATTCCTCAAAATTAAGATATTTTTTTCTATACAAAATCCATTGATTGTCCGTATACATATAAATGCACACATTTAAATGCAGCAGCCAACAATTCAAAATTTCCAGTTCCACAACTTATGTCTCCTGAAAAAAGTATATACAAGATGTTTCTTTTAATATAAAATACCTGATCTATTTATAATGTTAAGAATTATTTGTAGTTTTTAACGATATGCTATAACTTCACAAAGAAAAATATATTTTTGTGCTATACAAACAATAATTAACACAATACGTTGTACAATATATGACGTCAATTTTTTTTTTTTTTAATTTAATCACTTATTATTTATTTATTATCACTTGTTACTCATCCATACATTATACCTACTTTAAAATTGTATATCTCCTTGAATAATAAAAAAAATTAACATCAACTAACATCTTTTATCTTAGAAAAATATTTTTATTTTTTCAATTGATAATTATATATATTTTATGAATCATGATATATTTTTCAAATTTTTTATATTACGATTTATACATTGACTTATGATAAAATAATTATTCTGTTTATATACAAAAACATATTAAAAAGATAATTTGTACTGGCATTCTTCTTCTTTTTCTTGCCTTAATCCCAACTACTTAGGATAGGCCACCCATAATTTATACTGGTATAAGAAATATAATATTTTTAGATGTCTTTATCTTTATATCCTACAAAAACAGCTTTGCAAAGTTGACAAGTTTTCATTCTTTTGATAACTCTCTTGATAATAAAAGCATTGGTCGCATATTTCATGGTCACAATCTTGTAAAATCATATTTGCATTTTTATAGCAAATTCATTGTTAAATCTTAAATACAAACAATTTTTTTTTCTTATCTCAGAGGAGGTAAAATATTCAAAATAAGTTTAACTGTATATTCAATGTAATTAATATAATTTTTATAAAAATCAGTGTACTCCCCTTGTAAAGTATTTTAAAATAAAACAATCTTTATAAAGTTATATAAGTTTAAAGTCTAAATAATATTTTCGAATATAAATAATGAGGAGATTAAAGATGAAAATATAAAATTAAACATTGCACATTTTAACAAAAAATGACCATATTTTTTTACCACGGCAACTATTTGCACATAGAAGATAAGTCGTCGTCAAACATTTTTTTTTAATTTATAGCACGTAACATCAGCTTTAATTTAACATATGTTTAAAGGACGCAGTATTTCCGGAACATCGTTAAAACTTATATTGAAAAAGTTAAATTTTTGTGCAAAAGTAGCTACTTTATACCTTCTGTTGGTAAGGAAAGGGTCAGATTTCGAAAAAATGTATATCAAATAAAAATTTTTTCCTATGGATAGGGGATAAGAATACTTCCATGGCCCCTCTGCCAGTCATAAAAGGCAACTAATGAGGTTGCGTCAGGTCGACAGCCGGCGTAAAAATTACTGTTCAAAAAGTATGAGGAATTCTGAATAAAACTTAAGTGGATTGTCCCATCTCGAGTGTACGCGGGGACAACAGAAAGTAGTTAAATCAACAGGTAAGAGGGAATAAAGTAGTTAAAAACGAAGAAGACCAAAGGAATAAAGTGTTTGATACCAGCCGGACAACTTGTGTGGTAGCTGTTTCACCAGTCATGTGTACAGGTCTACCCAACACTTGTAGTGTCAACAGTGTAGAAAGATCACCACTTAACTCTAGGCTGGACTCGTGAATAAGGGAGAAAGAGAGATACAAAGTAAGAATAGGTACTTGGAATGTTGAAACATTAACTAGTAGAAGTAGAGAATTAGTTGAAGTATTGAAGAGGAGAAAAATTAACATTTGTTGTGTGCAGGAAACTAAGTGGGAAGGAAAAAAATCAAGGGAAATAGGTAAGGATTATAAAATAATATACTTAGAGAAGTCTAGTACAAAGAATGGTATAAGGTTAATAATGGATGAGAAGATGAAAAGTAAAGTAGTAGAAGTAGCTAGGAAAAGTGACAGAATTATGGCCTTAAAATTGATTTTTGAAGAAAAAGTACTGAATGTAATAAGTGCCTATGCACCACAAGTTGGATGTGGTGAAATAGACAAGGAAGTGATTTGGAGAGAGATGGATGAGTTGATGCAAGGGGTCCTGGCAATTGGATGCGGTGATAGGTGGAGATATGAATGGACATGTAGGTAAAGAGAGGAGAGGATATGAAAGAGTACACGGAGGGAATGGTTTTAGTGGGAAGAATGAGACTGGAGGAAGAATCCTGGATTTCGTAGTATCGTATGATCTTGCTGTGGTTAATACTTATTTTAAAAAGAGGGAAGAACATTATATAATTTATAAGAGTGGGAGGAATAGATCACAGATTGATTATTGTATGTGGAAGAGAGAGAGCGTAAAGCGAATAAAAATTGTAAAGTTATATACCACGCGAGAGTGTAACTACACAACATAGACTGATGGAAATGAAGGTGTAATGTACCGGGAAGAATATATACAAAAATAGAAGAAACATGAGGGAAAAATCGAAGATCCGGTGGTGAAACTTGAAAGAGGAAAATGAAAAAGAGTTTATCAAGACGGTAAAAGAGAGGACGGTGTGGAATGTCGAAGGAGATATAAATGATGTGTGGAATAGATCTGTTAGTTGTGTAAAGAATACTGCAAAGGAGATTGTTGGTAAATGTAAGAGTAGAATGCGGGAAACAAGGAAACCTGGTAGTGGGATGAGGACGTTCAAAAAATCATAGAAAGTAAGAAAAAGTAAATTCTACCATAAAGAAGAACAAAAAGACAGAAAATTGGATGGAGTATAAACGCATGTGCAAAAAAGCCAAGTGTGCACTGCACACTGTGCAGTAAGTAAGGCGAAGTTTAAAAGGTATGATGAGTTGTATGATAGTCTTCCTAGCCAAAGTAAGGAGAGAAAGAAATCTATGGACTCGCAAAGGTATAAGATAAAAGGTCTAAAGATTATCATTATATAAGGTGAATAAAAAGTGTTGATAATAAGGTACTCTCGAGTGATGATGATGTGAAAATAAGGTGGAAAAAAATTTTTGAAAAATTACTAAATGAGGATAAATACAAGGAGAGGTGTCGTGGTGTATGTTGTATGCTGACGATATAGTGTTAATAAGAGAAATTAGGAAGGAAATTAATCAAAGGTTAGAGGTGTGGAGATCAGCTCTTGAAAAAAAGGTTTAAGAATAAGTAGAAGTAAGACAGAGTATATAGAGTACGAGTTTGATAAAAGAGAATACGAGGTAGGTGAAATTAGGATACCAGTGACAATAGGCGAGGACATAATTGGAGATTTAGAAAATTATAAATTTTTAGGATCAGTTGTGCAAAAGAATAGTGGTATTGACGAGGCTGTAAGACACAGGATTTAATGCGGGTGGTTGAAGAAGAAAGATAAGTCTGGTGTCTTATGCGATAAAAGAATTCCAATAAGGCTGACAGGTTAATTCTACAAGACTGTAGTAAGGCCAGATATGATGTATTGTTCAGAGTGTTGGGCGGTTGATAGAAAGTAGAGTAAAGAATAAGGGTAGCAGAGATGAGAATGCTTAGATGGATGAGTGGAGTGACTAGAGAAGATAGGATAAAGAACGAGCATATAAGAGGAGCATATATATAACTAAATATTATTCTAGAATTAGGTATAGTGCTTACCTTTAGGCAATTAAAACGTCTGGTGAAAATTTGATGATGGAGAAATTATTTTAACGCTACTTATAGAATTTACAAAATTTACAATTAGCGCATTATGAAAAATCCACAAACTACGTTATTTTCAACACTCAATTTTTATTTCTTGTATTTATTCTGCGTTCTGTAGGGCACTCATAAAAAATCCTAGAAACAATGGCTAGGTTCAGAAAAGCTCCATTACTTTTCTTCATAAAGTTAATTACATCAATAGATATTGTTGATTCTGCGACTACTATGCTGTTGTATACAAATACTGTATACCAAATATATAAACTCATAAGGATTTCTATTTTACTAATCCTCAAATTTAATGAATTAGTGTGATTTTTAATTAGCGGTTCATGTGTTGTGTATAATATTTCACAGAATCAACAATATCTGGTGATGTAATTAACTTTATGAAGAAAAGTAATGGAGCTTTTCCGAACTTAGCCATTGCTCCTAAGATTTTGTATAAATCCCAATACCTTAATCTACTACAGAACTACTTAGTGGTTTAGCGATCTTTGATATTCTTGAATTATATTTGTTAGATTTTATTGATCAAATAAAAAGTCAAATCTATTGTATAGGGATTTAATGGTAGTTGATTGTCCAAGAAGAGGTATTATTATTTTTACTTATCTTTATCACGGGGAACACTAATTAAGAAAAAAATAGTTGTAAATGGTAAAATTTGTGTTATGTATTTTATTATGAAATAATTTGCATAACAATCTTTGTAAATTTGTCTAATCAAATTATAAATATGGTCCAGTAACATTACTAACAACACCAAATGTTCCATCATTATTTTCATATAAATAAATACAGTCTTCGTATTTCATATCAACACCTCTATAATCGGGCCAGTCTTTTCCTCGGAATACGAACCAAACATTTTTTAAATTTTTAAAAAGATAAATACAAACGTCTAGATAATCAGAAATTGCTAACAATTCCGTATCTAAACTTGGTCTTTCTATATCTGTAAATCAAATATTATATTTTAATAATTTAGATTTAACAATATACAAATTAATTACATCTAAACAACTAAATTAATTTGTGCCATTTTTTTTTTTATTAATAACTTATATTATTTTGGCAAGCTTTAATAATTATTTATTTGAACATTTGATAAAAAAAAATGTTCACATAACTACTTTATTATTTAATATACAGGGTGATTTTTTTATCATAACCCACTCAATTACTTACAGAATAATAATAATTTAAACATTTTTTTTTATTATTATCTTTAGTTACACATTATTCTTGAATTTTTAACTATGTAATACTTTTTAAGTTCATCCCTTATGCCTTGGAGGGGGGTAAACTTTGTTTTTTTAAATGGTAACACATATTTTTAATTTAATAAAATGTTTGAGTTTTTAATTTAATAGTAAATGGCATTTGAATTTTTAATATAACTTTATTAGCTTATTAGATATAAACATTTAAAGTTTCAAAATTTTGAGTTAATATACATGTATAATACACATGGGATTGTAAATACAGGTAGCTAATTGGACTTTTATGTCATTGCTGTCTCAGTCATGGATTGTTTATTATCAATTATGATTATCAATAGATATACTTTCTGTATTGTCAGTTAGTGTATTTATAAACTCATAACAATGTGCCTTACTACAATTGATAATAACAATGCTGTGTACCTGCTAATATCGATGTTATAAAAAACCAATTAGCTACCTATATTTGTAATCCCTTGTGTATTATACCTGTATATTAATTCAAAAATTTGAAACTTTAAATGATTATATCTAATAAACGAATTAAGTTATATTAAAAATTCAAATGCCATTTACTATTAAATTAAAAACTCAAACATTTTATTAAATTAAAAATATGTGTTACCATTTAAAAAAACAAAGTTGACCCCCTTCCAAGGCATAAGGGATGAACTTAAAAAGTATTACATAGTTAAAAATTCAAGAATAATGTGTAACTAAAAATAATGAAAAAAAAAAATGTTTAAATTATTATTATTCTGTAAGTAATTGAGTGGGTTATGATAAAAAAATCACCCTGTATATATATATATATATATTTATATATCTGATTTATCCATGTCAAACTTCCAAGCGATAGTTACAAGTGATAAGTTTAAAACTAAATTGTTGCCTTAGCCTGTTTACTCTTGTTTCTATACTGTTAATCAACTGATTATCAGTATCGTCTTATTAATAACAAATAACTATTTATTATTGATAAGTAGTAAAACCTTTAAGTTGTACATTTAAAATTACCAATTAAATAATAACTTGAAAATTTTAGTCTAATATTTTCAAATGTCTTTGAATAATTTGAGAAGTTATTGATTTTATCTACCATGTTTTTAGCTTCGACGCGAAGCTGAGAATTTATTTTTTTTTTTTTTTATGTCCGTTACCACTTGTTCTCAGCTCTCATCGGACTCATTTCTTTCAACGATATGTCAAAAAATCACAAATTGTATCTAGCCGAAGACATTACTCAGAAAACTTGAAAAAATTTTCCTCGTTCCCCATAAATGTTATGGGAACAAGTTAATCAGCAGGTGATTATCATACATGATAATAGTAAAAATGAAATATTTTTAAACATTTATGAACCACCTCCATTACCTACCCGTGGTGTAAAAATATCAATAACTTAATTTTAATTTAACTTGTGAAGAAGCCATATATCATAATGAAATTTTAATAAAATATATCCGAGGAAATTATCTTTCTTTTGGTTACATTTTATTAAAATTAAATTAAACACCTAAGTATAGAGAGAACAAAAAACATTTTGTTTAAGTAAATTTTTGAAAATTTACTGAATTTCAGTAATATACTGAACGTATATTACTAAAATGCTTATAATTTATTAACTATTTGTGTTAAAGTTATTATCAACTTAAATTTTTTGTAAGAAAAAGATTAAAAAAATGGTTTTATTAATTTTGAAAAAATTATAAATTAAAATAAATATGTTTTTTTATTAATAACAGATAATAAGAAATATAATCTTAATAAAGTTTAAATATGCATAAATTATTAATAAATAAAATTTATAGCAAAATTTTAATTCTATCTAAACTATAAAAATTATTTTTTTCACTCTTTGTGGATATAAACTAGTAGAATTATATCAATGATAAAAAATCACACACATATATATATATATATATAAATAGTAAAAAAAAATGTTTGACCCTAGATTAACTATTTTTACCACTTATTGAAATTCAAACGGTAGCACAGTGGGTTTATGTCATAGTTGAGATAAGATGATATCTGACAGGGATTAAAATAAATATCATAAGAATGCTTCGATGCAAATCTGTAGATAGTGTTAAATTCTAAGAAATTGGAGAATTATTCCAAAAGCAAAATTAACTCTTATTTTTTGTTCTACTGCGACTGCCATCTACACATAGAAAATAGATAGTCTGTACAATTTTTTTTTTGAACACCTAGCACATAAAATAAGCTTTATTTAATTTCAGATTGTCATAAAATTTATATAAAATAAATGGAAATACGTAAATTGTTTATATAAAAAAAATTATTTTGGTTCATTTTTTTCAAAAAAATATGGCAGTTATAAGTACCAAAATAACATTGATTTTTTTACACGAAAATTACATATTTTGTTTAATTTTGACGGATATTTGCACATAGAAGATAGGTCGTCGAGACAAAAATTTTTTTTTATCTTAAACTACATAACGTAAGCTTTAATTTAACATATTTATAAAGGTCGCAGTATTTCCGGAACATTTACAAAAGTTAAGTTGAAAAATATACTTTATATATGTATGTTACAAACTTTGAACCCCCTCTGTATAAAGAGAAATTCACCGATTTAAACAAAAAGTATATCGGATAGAGGGGTATATATAATACTTTTAGAAACAAAAATTTGTGTTGATACATATTTTTTTCAAAAAGTTATAGCAATTTAAAGTTGAAAATTTTAACACAAAAATAGCGTTTTTTTTAACTACGGCAGCCGTTTACATGCAAAAGATAGTGTCGGGACAAATTTTTTTTTTTCATTTTATAGTACATAAAATAAGCTTTAATTTGATATATGTTTAAAACGCAGTATTTCTGGAATATTTTCAAATATTATATCAAATAAAAAGGAAATTACTTAAGGTTTCAATATAAAAAATAATTATTTTGATTTGTTCATTCTTTAATAAGTTATGGCAATTTTTGCAAAAAAAAAGTAAAAGAAATTTTAAAATTTACCGATTTTAAAAATCGTAATTTTTTGAAGGGTTTCCTACATTTACAGGGGATAAGAGAAAATTTTTAATTTTTGAGGGTAATGTCTTCAGCTAGATACAATTTGTGATCTTTAGATGTGTTGTTGAAGAAAATCAGTCCACTGAGAGCTGAGAAAAAGTAGTATTAGATACAAAAAATATATTAACATACCATGGTAAAATTAATACTTTCTCAGTTTCGCATCAAAGCTAAAAAAATATTTCAAAACTATTCATACTTGTATCTTGGACGTCAATAAATTCTTCTATGTATTCATTATATCTTTCTTCTGAATTAAAGAATATTTTTATATTATTATTCTCTTTCATGTTCTTTTTTTGACATAAAAAATTTAATTTTGATAATTTAATATAGAACAAAAATATAAATATAAAATATCTTACTTTAAACACATTGTTTTGTATTATAGAACTTATTGTAATATCTTGGCATAAAAATTCTGCCAGAAGCTCATATAATCCAGATTTATTAAAATAAACATCAACTGGAATCATATTAGATGTTATCTGTTGCCCGACCATAGAATTCTTTCGAGTAAATCCTAATTTTTTACATTTATTTATTTTCCAGTTTAAATCAACTTTGTTATAATAAGGTCTTACACTGAATGTTGAATAACTAGAATTCCAATTCTGTTCTTCTATATTTTTAGGAAAAAATATACCCTTAAAATTAAAGTGATTATTATAAATAAAATTTAATAAATATTATATCATTTTAATTTGAAGTAAAAAAAAAATTTTAATTATTATTATAATTGCGTATTAATTTAACTAAGCAAATATTTGTTTAAAAATAATTCATATATCTACAAATTAATTAATACTTATTTAAATTTACCGAATGTGATATTATTGGCTCAATTGTATACAGTATACTTAAAATTACGATTCTTTTCATGAAAAAAATCATTTTTTCGAAGTCAAAATTATTTTAAAATAAAATTGAAATACAATTTTTTGTTCATATATAACCTGACATAGTCAATATAAAACATATATTTTTTTCTTAAATATATTTTTAAATATAATGTCATACTTATATTATATTAATTTATCTATATTAAGTATTGATGTCATTTGATCAACATTTACTGTTTAAGAAATTTAAACTATGACAAAAATTAACAAAAGTATAGGATGGAATGAATTCATACATTATTTATAGTTCGTGTTCTAAACATTATTTTTAAAATAATTGTATATGAAATGTTTAACATTTTAAAATCACTCTTATGTAATTAATAATATCCTCTAATATATATAAAAAAAAAATAATATGTATTTTCAGCTATTTAATTTGACTTAATAAACAATTCATGATAGTAAGCAGCATAGCTAATAATGACTAGTGTATTGAGAAGATTGTTTCAAGTAAAATCAAGAGATTTTAATAGTAACTAATAGCCAATATCAGTCGGTTATTAATTGCTATTTTCCCAATTATAATTTAAAATAAATTTCTTTTAAAATTAGCAACTATGAATTTATTGTCTATTTATTACATTGATAAATGTATGTTTTAGTTTCTATAATACGAGAAAAATATTTGACTAAAAAATAATTTTTATAAATTATTTTATTGTTGAGTTACGTTTGAGTTATATCAAAATGTGGTCATAATTTTCTGATAAATAATGATATATCATTTACTACTATAAAATAGTTTAATTGAATTGGATAATTTTTGAGTTTATTTTATTATTCTATAAGTTATAGCAGAATTATGTTACAAAATTTACATATTTGTATTATAATTATGTTTAAAAAAACCCAGCACCGTGGGATGGCGGCAAAGTGGGGTCGTGGCATAGTTGGGTACAGTATAGATTAAATAAATCCGTTGAAAGAAATCCGTTCGGTAAGAGCTGAGAAAAAGTGGTAACAGGCACAAAAAAAAACACATCTTAGTAAAACCAATACCTTCACAGCTTTGCATCGAAGCTAAAAATAAAAAAAAATTTGAAAATTAGCGGTTTATAAATTTGTAATTTTTCCCTCATTTACGGGGAACGAGGGAAATTTTTTCAATTTTTGAGGGTAATGTCCTCTACTAGATACGATTTGTGATCTTTAGACGTATCGTTAAAAGAAATCGGTTCGGTGAGAGCTGAGAAAAAATGGTAACAGACACAAAAACAAAAACACATCATAGTAAAATTAATACCTTCTCAGCTTCGCATCGAAACTAATAATAAAAGTATAATAAATAATAGTTAGTAAAATAATATTACCTGTGTTTTTAAATCTTTTTTTTTATTTTATACAACACTCAAATTACTTATATTTTTAAACAATTTAAACATAATATTAGAGCTTGTTAAAAAAAATAAATTTTATGTATTTAGAATAAGAAATCAAATAAAATACAAATATATCATTCAATTTAATTATAATTTTTCAAATGAAGATACCAGTAATGAAATCTTAGTTTAAAATTTAAACAGGTAAAGACCGGGATATTCAATAAATCATTAATGTTATCTCATAAAAATGTGCTTTAATACCATATTTTTTTGCATATCTGATGACAAAGTCATAATTGATATTAAGTGTTGCATATCTCTGAATAGTGAAGTTGTAAAAAAGCAATTTTTTAACTGTATTTGACATTACTCGTACATTACACATTTATATTAACTCAAAAATATGAAATAAAAATTTTTATATCTAATAAATGAATAATGCTATCTGTTAAAATTATAATGCCATTTACTATTATAGTAAAACTTCAAACATTTTATTAAATTCTATACGTGTTCCAATTTGAAAAAAATTTACTAAAGGTAACCAAAAGAAAAAACCCAGCACAGTGGAGTCGCGGCACAGTAAGGACGTGGCATAATAGGGTCCAATATAGATTTAATCTGACAGTGATTAAAAGCACTATCATAAGAAACGCTTCGGTGCAAGTCAGTAGATAGTGTTTAATTCTAAGAAGTTGGTGAATAATTACAACAGCAACATCAACTTCTATTTCCTTAATTGTATCCAGTTTAGTAATTCTTAGATTCAAAAATACAATATATATATTTTTATTTATATATTATACAATTTTTATAATTAATTGTTTTCAAATTATTATTGATATCGATTTTTAATATGTTATAAGTAATAATTTTTAACATAGTTTTTTGTGAAAGTATAATAAAAAAAAACTGAATTTATTGCCATAACTTTTAGCTCAACTTGCAATTTTGAAATTGACATCATTATTTTGTAAAAAATGGTATTGTTAACATTAATATGGAGTCAGTAAGTTTTATAATTACTATTTATGGTAAATTTATTAGAAAATCTTGATTTTTTTTGCATTTTTATCGAATAAAAATTTAAATAGAAATCATGTTTAATCATTTCTAATTAACTTTTGGTGTTTAAAAAGATTTTACAATTAAAATATGTAAAATTGAACTAATTTTAATAATTTACTTTAACTAAAAAAACCAATTAAAAAGTTGTTAAAAAAATTTAATCAATTGTGAGCGTATTATAAAATTTGATTATAATTGTAAAAATCCATTGTTAAATTGAGGTGAAACTAAAAATTAAAAAAATTTTTTTTTAGATAAATGATTTATACAACATGTTTCAAAAAAATTTGGAATGTTATAGACTGGTTTAACTGAGTTTAAAAATTAACAAATTACAAAGTAAAATTATTAACTTTTGTAGTTGAACACTTTTATTACATCAAATCAATGTAATTATTCGACAATAAATACTTTAAAAATATTAGAAATTAATGTTTTTAATTGTTTGTATAGATAAAGCTGTTTAAGCTACTTTTCATTTGATTAAGGGATTTTTTTTCAATTTTAGAGGGTAATATCTTCAACTAAACACGCTTTTTAATCATTTGACATAACGTTGAAAAAGAAGGTTAAGTGAGGGTTGGAAAAATAAATCGCAGCCTCAAAAAAAACACATATAGTAAAATAATATTAATATGAATAAGAAATATCTTCTCATGAGAGGAGACGACAGTGATAAGATCCTTGATATTTATTTAAGTTAATGAATCTAATTGACATAAAAATCAAATAATTTGAACATTTTTTCTAACTTAACCAAAATACAAAATATCTAATGCTACAGGCGGATTTGACCCTAGACCCTAAGCGAAAAAAACACAAGTGTTACTGATTTGGCAACTGTCCGTCGCTTTTGTCGGTTGATAAAATTGGCAAATTAAGCTAATTCAAATTTTAAAGTTACTTTTTTGACTTTAAAAAGTATTTATGTTAAACAGTGATTTTAACATAAAAATTAAATTTTTCATTAAATTCGACGGCTATTTTCTCATAGAAGAAAAGGTGTAGGGACAATTTTTTTTTTTGAACTTATAGTATTTATTGTATGTTTTAATTTGACATATGTTTAAAGGACACTGTATTTCCGGAACATGTTCAAAAGTTAAGATGAAATAGTTCTAATTTTATACGTATGTTTCAAGTTTTGAATGCCTCCTGTATAAAGGGATATTGTCCAATTTAAATAAAAAGTATGTTAAATGAAAGAAGTATAAATTATATATTTAGAAAAAAAAAATTGTGCAGATACATTTTTCTAAATGTTATAGCAATTTAAACTTAAAAGTATAAAATCGAAAATCAAAAATAGCTTTTTTTTTTACTACGGTAACTATTTGCACATAGAAGATAATTCGTTGGGACAATTTTTTTTTTAATTTTATAGTAAATATAAGAAAAAGTTGCAACAGTCACAAAAAAAACACATCATGATAAAACTAATACTTTCTCAGCTTCGCATCGAAGCTAAAAAAATGTTTAAATCATTTTAATTCTGGAGTAATTTAATGGTTTATGATATAGAACCATTTTGTATATTACTCTAATTCTAAATAATTGTTCGTAAGCATGATTAATGTTATCCTTCAATATTAATGAATATATTTATAATTTTATTACTAATTTATTGCCCACATAAATTAAATTTTAAAGTAGTAATTTTTTAAATAATTTTATATTGACGAAGAATTAAAAAAAAATATTATGCCTTTAAAAACACAATTATTGATGAATACGAGAGCAGTTATTAATATTATATTGTTTAAGTTTAAAAATAAGTTTCAATTTTGGTATTAATTTTTTATATAGCTATATTCTAGATTCAATTGAGATTTTTATTGAATTTATTTAAAAATACAACCCTATTAAATATAAAAAGTTCACTTGGGATTCTGTGTAACGGAGCATTTTGTAATTATATTAGTATTGAATGAAATCTAAAAATTATTAAAATCACTGTCAAAACGTTTTGATGCTTATTTAAAAAAAATTAAAAAGCAGAAGCTAAATCACCGGAACATTTTTTTCCCTCAGCCGCACATCACGTTATCAAATTTAATAAAATTGTATTGGGATCTGAATCATAAATGAATGGTGGCCTAGTGGTAAGGTTTGTCTCTATGATACCTTGGATCGCGGGTTTTAATCCCGTACCGGTTTTTTTTTTTTTTTTTTACACGATTTCCTGTACACTAACTATAACCGACTATTATTCCCCGGCGATCGTATTAACGTAGGGGTGATGACGTTTTGAATTCCCATTTTAGGGTATGTAACGGTCAGTCTCTCCTACCAGTAGAACTTCCGAGGTGGTCACTATTATGAGGCCTTGGATCTTCGTGGCTGCCTCTGTTCAGGCGTTCCACTTCCTCCTTCTTTTTCAAGACAGATTCGACAAACGCCTGGACGAGCCTCCACGCCTCTCAACTCCCCAAAATCAGGTCAACCATGGACTCGACTCGGAACGTGGATACTAGTCGGGGTTCCAAAGGGTCCTACTCATGGGATCGTGCTTCGCACCGGCAGAGAGTGTGCAGAGAGATGTCTACCTTTCCTGCACGATTGGAACGTCGTCGCGGCTGCTTTACGAATACGATGCAGGTACTCGTTGAAGCCGCCGTGGACGGACATCACTTGGGTGAAACGAAAAATCATCTCACTGTAAGTCCGGTCCACCCACCTATTTAACTGATCGGGTTCTATGAGGGACCTGGTCCACTCGCCTCTCGACATTTCATCCAAGAGGCCAATCCGTCACCAGAGCATGGTCATCCGCCTGAGCGCCAGCTGGTCTTTGGGTTCTCTGCGCGGCGAATTTTTCGGCAAGCAGGTCAACGGGCAACAATGACGACAAGTAAATTGCCGTCACTCCGGACACCGTTCGGTAAGCCGAAACTTTCTGGATCGCCATCCGCCTCTGCATCATGAACAAGGCTTCTTGGTTTTTGTACGATTACTTAAGATCCGTATCCACCCAAACCGGGGACCTGTACTGGAGGACGCTGACTAAAAGTCTGTACTGCATCTCCCTTGGCATTCCATGGTTGGTCATGAGACCCGCTAGGCTGTTTATGACTTTCGCACGATTATGTGCCCCCCCCCCCCCGTTGCGCTGCGCTACAGTGTTGGTGTGATCGGTCTTTAAAGGCTACAAAACGTCGGCACGAGCGCAGTTTCCATATCTCGGTGAATCGGGCGCGTCCTCAGGTTACAGATAGAGGAATGGCCTGCAAATATGCAGATTAAGTTGCACAAAGTTCTGATACACTTATTTATTAAAACCTCGCGGAACACCCTACATGGAAATTAATTTTTAATAACTAATTAATCGAATTATTTGGTTTGAAGATTTAAGCTACAAATACTCATAAATTTATTTCATTTAACTAATTTAGAAACTCTTAACCGTTGAATACAAGTAATTATAATTTTCTGTTGGATTTAATATTTATAACTTTGGGTTTTTAGAATAAAATCACGTATAACAAAAAATATATGTATTGTTTCTATTCAAGGGGGATATCATAACAACTGACACCCCCCTTAAATGCGTCACTATTATGGTATTTTTAAGTTTCCTTCCTTTTATTATAAAAAAATTGTTTAAAATATAGAGTATACTCTATGCAATTTTAAATTAATAAGCATAAAATATTGATTCTTTTCACAATAAAATAATTTTTTTTTCTCTTAAAAAATTAATTTTGAACATCAAATTTATTTTAATTAAAATTAAAAACTCAATTTTGTTCTATGTTAACAAAAAAGAACCAGATGTTTCAAGCATATATATTCTAAGACAATTAACTACATTAAAATTTTTTTTAATAATTTTATTCATGATTTAATTCTGATTGTGACAGAAAATAATAATAAATGTACAAAAATAATTATTTTAATAAAAAAAAAAATCATAAATAAGAATACAACAAACAATGACTAAATATCTTAAAATATAATATTCTATTTCTCAAGAATAAACATTCGTAAAATATATATGCTTACACAAGTATCTATATTTTATCAGGCACATATTCAGACTCAAAATACTTTAAAAATATTTAGAGATTTATAAATTTACTAAAATAAAACCTTAATAAAATTATCAATATTATTTTTTATTTTTAGATTAAATAAGCAAGCATGGATCAAAATATCAGTCCAGTGATAGGTGAAAAAAGTAGTGATAGACAAAAATAAATGCATAATGATAATATTAATACCTTTTAAACTATGCATTTAAGCAAATACAACAAATATATATATATAAATATGTATGTGTGTGTGTAACCCTAAACTAATAACAAAAAATCGATTATATGATCAGTTAGCCAAGAATGATATCAGAAGATCGTTCTAACATCTTTAATAGCTTTTCAAACTGCAAATATTTTGCCAAAAATCTATTAGCTTCAATAGGCTAAAAGATTTTTGGTATTATCTTAGCTTTGCATCGACAATGCTAAGAAGGTATTAATTTTACTATGATGTGTTTTTTTTTGTGTCTGTTACCACTTGTTCTCAGCTCTCACTGGACTGAATTTGATGAACAATATGCCAAAAATTCGCAAATCGTATCTAGTCGAAGATATTACCTCAAAAATTGAAAACTTAAAAAGATCTCAAGTTTATTTTTTTGAATAGTAACATACACATTTAATTAGCTTATAAAATTGGAAATAATCTAATTAAGAAAATAAATGGTGAATAAACTTTTGAACCAGTATTTCAAAAGTTTTAACTATTTAAAGTAATGAATGAGGGTGAGGCGTAGGTACAGCTATTTTTATCACTAGTCATTTACTGGCCGTACTCTTCACCTCGTCTAGGTATAAATAATAATAAAAATGACTATAACTTCAGAAAGTAATATATGTGACTAAAAGAAATCAACATTTTTTTTCTAGTATTGTGATTATTTTGTGAGTAGTCGAGTGGTTAATAATAAACCAAAATTTGTTATTGAGCATTTTCCCTCAATTTTTTCGTTAAATAATGATTTTTTTATAAAAACTTACAAATTATGATTTGATTTATTTTTATAAACCGTAGTAAATATCAAGTAAATTATAATAAATAATAATTTCTAAAGATATATTTTAGGGGTAGCTTTCAGAAGTTAAATGGAAACTTATTATTTTTTGTTATTATTAAACCAAGAATCATCAAAAAAAAAATTTGACTGTTCGATAACCTGCTTTGTATTATAACTTTGTAAGACATTAACATTTAAATAATTAGTAAAGATGAGGCGCGAGATAGTATTTAGCAACTCTTTAATTTTACCATGACGCATAGATAAAAAATTTTTCACGTTGCGCACCCCACTCATTTAACTAAAAATTATATTAACTCAAAAATTAATAATACAATACAGGTTGTTCACTAGTTAACTTTTTATTTAGACCATTTTGCAGATGTTTGTAACAACTGGTCTACTAGATCTTTGCTAAAGGCATTCTGTACTAAACCGCAAAATAAATATTAAGTATTATAAAAGTTTCTATAAAAGAACAATAAATATTTACATCTTCAGACACTACATCAATCAAAATAAATGGACCAAACAGAGTGTAGCAATTAATGATAACCCTAGTAGTAAATTTTCTACCTAACTTTGTAGGATAGTTTTAATTCATACACTTTCTTACACTAGTGCAGTATACCAAGATTTTTTAATGTGGTTTTGAATACATACAGAATTATTAATATTTTACTAGTATTGATATTACTAAAATGTTATTTAAGTAATATGTTAGTGTCTGTAAACTTTCAATTGCAAATATAATATAATGTTAGTATAAAAATGTTATCATTTTGGAATAAGTACTCAGTTAATACTAGTTTTTAAACTATTTATTATAAGTGCTATAGATACATCAATAAGGTGTGATGAGATAGATAATGTAAATTATTGATACACTCCACAAATTAATTATTTACTTTGGTTTATTGGTTATCATGTTACTTATGATTATTCATACTTCCCATCATAAAAATTTTTATAAAATTTATTATATTACTGAGAAACATTTGTGTGCGAATAATTAATTAATTGTATTAGTATAAATATATTTATACAATTGACTATATATATATCAATTACTTTTTGTGACATCTGTGCAAACTAATTTGATATTAAGGATCGCCAGTTATTCTCAACAACTAACAAAGGCACTTGATTATAATATCACACTTTTCGAAGTGGTATCACTGCGACGTTTCTGTGATGATTTTTTGTACACAGGGATTTAGAAAATAAATAGGAAACACACAATATTTTTACTTAAATGGAACATGGTTTTCTATGAATGTTCTCATAAAATACACCAAAAGTGAATTCATTGTCTCACTTATACTGTATTAAAATTTTATTATAATCAGTATTTTTAAAACAAAGTAACGCATAATATTCAGTAGATTAAAAGTTATTAGATTTATCAAAAAATCGTGGACCACCCTGTATAAGTAAAATATTAACTATCATATATAATATATATATAATATAATTTAAAACTATACATATATCATCAAAAATAATATATTTTTTAATTTTTTATAAATTTAAAAAAAATATCAATATAACTGTTATATATTAGTGGCTGCACTGTTAAGCAGCTTGTAGCATCGTTCTCCTTCTCATTAAGATGTTTTAGATACAGTAAAAAAGCACGCTCTTATGATTTTTAAAATAAAGTTTTTACAGTTATGACATAACTAGTTTTTATTTAAAATACATAACAATAATTATTTATAGAGTATTCAAAAAAAATGTTGTTAGCAAAATTAAACTTTAAAATTTTGTAATAAAATTACAACAGCATATAAAAGACATAACTATATTATTGTACTTATAAATATAACAAAAGTTTAACGATTTTTTTTTATTGTTTAAAAATATTGAATATTATTTATAGGTACATTTATTCTATCACATTGTGCACAATACCAAAACGATTTTCGGTTACATATAAATAAATACATTTTTCATCTTTCATGTCCAGGTTATCATAATTGGGCCAATCTTTGCGGTATACCAACCAATATTTTTGTATATTATCATAGACATAAATACACACATCTAAATAATAAGCAGCAGCAAAGAGCTCTATACAGCCACATTTACTTTGTACTTCTCCTGTAAAATGTACAATAATTTGTTTGAAAACATTATTAGATTATCTATGCAAATAATACACCGTAATAATTGATAAATAATACAACATTTTACTACTATGTATATATTTTTGATAAAATAATTAATAATGGAACCGCATTGATAAACATTTGAAATATATAATATACTGAAATTTAAATTAATAAAATTCTTTGAAAATTATAAATATAGTAAATATATTTGCTATCAAAAATTTGTCTGTTTAAAAAAATTGAAAAATTCAAACTAACCCATCACAAAGGGTACATGGAATAGTGGAGACCCAGTATAAATTGAAATCCGACAGTAATTAATATCACTATCATAAAATACTCCAATGCAAATGTACAGTAAGAAAGTTTCTTTATAAAAACAAAATTAGATAATTTTAGTTACAGTCAATATTAATAAATACACACCATTTATGTCTATAAATTTTTCTATTTGTGATCTACAAAGTGGACAATTGTATTGTTTTTTAATTTTTAATTTATCTGTGCATTCCTGGCATATTGCATGATTACATGTTTCTAAAATAATTGTAGAATTTTCATAGCAAATTGGACATGCTTCACACGACTCTAAATAGTATGGATAATTATATTAGGCTTAAGTATATGTATAGTATTATGCAAAAGTATATCTTGAGATTTTATAGCAAATCAACAAAAAATGGTTTAACTTCTCTAAAAAATAACATTTAAAGGCTTGTCTAGAAATAGCTTCTATATACATGAAATATTTTATTGACAAATGATAATAGATAAATAGCAATTTAAATACTAACCTCTTCTGTCCGGTTCAACTATAATATTAAAGTAAAACAAGTTTTTTATTAGTATATATTCTTTAAATATACAATTATATTATAACAGTTACTTTCCAATTAGATATAAAATGATAGATATACGATGAAGTTTAAATTATTCACCTTATTTTTAAAGAATTTAATAATAATCAATATGTAAATAAATTGTACATTTTATATCCTTTAATTTTATAAAAATTTATATCTTGTAATTATATGAGTGAAGTACCCTTTGTAAGATTATTATTAAAGAACGAACCATAATTAAAAACGAGCGTGGAAATTATTAAAAGCTTAAAGTAGCAAACAATGAATTCAGTAAAATTTTAGATGATAAGTATATAAAATTATTGTAAAATAATTCCATATGAGTCATTGAAGAAAAAATTTAGGTTAAATAAAAAAATCACATCTCTATTGTGTATTTATTTTTGTCATAACCAAAGTATACTCCTTCATACTTTTCTTTATTACAACTTTGGGATATTCATATGGATAGAGATAATCGATTTAAGAAAATACTATCTAAGTAAAATTATGAGAAATATTATCTATAGGTATTACACATACCTGGATCTGATATTTTTATAGTATTCTTTATATAATCATTAAATAGTTCGTCACCGAATAATTGTTTAATATCTTGATTTTCCATGAGATTCTATATTTTTGAGAAATAAGTTTCATAGATTAAGATTATTTTATGAAAATTAGTTAATATTAAATGCTCACTTGTATTATGTTTCTTTGTAGTTGGTGACGAATTTTTTGACTTCCACACACTACTTCGGATAAAATATAATACATGCCATCATTATTAAAAAAAGAATCCACTGGAATCATGAAGGAAGTAAACTTTTGTTCTGTAATAGGTTCATTAAAAGTAAATCCCAAACTTCTACATTTTTCTCTTTTCCATTCTTCATCGACTGGATTATAATAATGTGAAGTTTTAAATTCTTTTGTATCAAATTGCAATATCGATCCATCCCATTTAGTAACTTTTGATGGATATGATATACTCTGAAATCATAGACAAATATAATAATATATATAAATTGTTTTGCTGTGATTGAATTATTATTGTATAGATATTTTTATAAGTGTTCTTTTATAATTTTTTTATAAACTCAATAAAAATATTATTACCTTTTCAGCACAAGATATTTGTATGAAACTTATGTTGCAAAGAAAGCATATCATTGCAAACATTTTTAAGAAAAACAACATTTTTACAAAAATTTATTGCACCCTTAAGCAAGTGAAATTTTTATTAAATAACTCAAATAAGTTCTATTTTTTTTTGTCCTTGTATTATATAAATAATATTTTTTTTAATTATAAACGATCATATATACATAAATATATATACATAATTATATTTGAGTGTAAAATTTATTGATTTTTAAATATTATTACAACTAAAATAGCAAGAAACATGGCATCATTTTTTAAAATATTTTTCTCTAATATTTGAATGATATATGTTTTAAATTGTTTACACATTAAAAAAATTTATTAATAATCTTAAACTATTGAAAATGTTAAAAAGGTTTTAGATAATATAATCTAGGATAGCTATTGATATATTAAGATTACATTTGGTACAATTAATTGCACCCTTTTTTCAAATTGTAATTATACAAACTCGTTACTCGACTAATATTTTGTATAATTTATTTATATTTTTTTACCAAATAAATAACTTTTAACATGATTTAAAATCATTCAATTATGCAAATTGAATTTTTTGTTTTGAACCCTTTCTCCTATTCAATATATCTTGTTAAATATAATTATTAGAAATTATTCATTAAATTAAGTAATCATTAGAAAACTTGTAATTAATAAACTAATTCTTTTATACAATGGAAAATAAATTTATTGCTGTAGATGGTTAGATCTAACAACAGTAGCTTAGGGTAATAATATAAGAATTTAACTGTCATAATTGTATTATTTTTTAAATCAAATATTGAATAGTTATGAAAGCAGACCCGGAAAATTGTTCTTAATATTAAAATAATAAGAAAATAATGAATTGAAATCATTGTTAATATAACTTTTTAAAATAAAAACTAAAAATATGAATTTATAGCTATAAAACATATGTGGTTTGAAAACAATTTTATCGAGATATAAAAAAGTATGGTATAATTGCTAATAATAATAAATTTATTTCGAGAAATGTTCAATTTTTGTACTAACTTGCTTTTTTCAAGCTCTAATAAAGAAAATTTTATGAATTTAAAATATACAATTTTTATATTTTTTCATATCAAAAAAATATTGTCATAAGATGATGCTTACAAATATTCCAAATTTTAAATTTTCAATGATATCCATTTAATTGTAAATTGTATATATATCATAAATAAAAGCCTTAATTAAAATCAGAAATAATATCCTAAAATTATAATTAACTACGGAATGTCAAAATAATAGAACTTTTCTTTTTCTTTTTTAATAATTCTATGTTAGCTTCGTTGCGAAGCTGAGAAGGTATTAATTATAACAAAGTTTTTTTTTTGTTTGTCTGTCGTTAATTTTTCTCAGTTCTCACTTGACCAATTTTAATAACCAATTCGTTAATATAACACGATTTTAAACTTGTCGAACTTAAAAAAACTTCTTTTTAATAAATATCTCCAAATTAATAGAAGTATAAAATTTGTTTTTATACTACTAAATTACACAGTAAAATAATATAAGTAAAATAAAATATTTTTTAATGATTATAGACTGAAATATACTTACTTTTTACGCTGATTACATGTCATAAATTAGACTTTTCAGTCGTCCCTTTTTTGAGATTATTCCTAATTAGAAAAACAAAAAAAATTTAATTTAAAAATTTTTTTATCAAGTTATTATTGATTTTTAATATGTTAAAAATAATCCGTACAAAATTTCTATTCAAAATGAAATTTTTAACTTATTCTTTTGATCCTTTTAAGTTGATTTTTATGAAAGTAATAAATAGCTAATTTAAAGTTTAAGATATTAAAAAACACTTGTTAAATTAAAATGGAATAATAAGAAATGAAACATTAAAATATTATATTATATTTTACAATTTTAGTAAGCATTACAATTAATATACTAGTTCTAAGTCTTCCTAAATAAAAAGTTTACAAATAAACATGTACATTGATTTTAAGGTGAAAAAAATCCAAGAAAAATATTTTATATTTAATTTTAATTCCTTAAATTTCGGTCAATCAACTAAATTTTTTATATACAAAAATAATAATAAATAAAATGTACAAAAAAGATCTAGAAAAAAAGAGTTGAGGCATAGAAATCAATATAAAACGATTTATATATATATATTATTTATATATATATAAATATATATATTATATATATTTGACAGTAATAAAACCACTGTTGTAAAATACTTCGGTACATATTTGAAACACATTAAAAAATATTTAAGATATCTACTAAAAATTAGACGATTTTTGACTTAAGAGGTTAAATCACTGGAACATTTTTCTTTTAGCTTCAATTAAAAGTTGACAAAATATTAATTTTACAATGATATGTTTATTTATTTTTTATTGTGTATGTCTGTCATTTTTACTCAACTCTCATTGGATCGATTATTTTTCAACGATTCCTGGGACTTCCCATTACGAAAAAATTATCCTAGCTATCTATGACCTATGATGAATTACAATTTCATATCTTATATTATAATTAACTATCAAGTGTCAAATTAATAGAACATTTCTTTTTCTTTTTTAATAATTCAATGTTTAAAATTTTGTTTTTTAATTGTAATTTAATTAAAAACACTAAGTTTTTGTAAAAATTAATTTTATTTTTTATTCTGTAATGCATTTATATACTTCTAAATTTTAATATTTGATCTAAGAATTTTTTTTTTTTCAATTTAAATCATACAATTTTGTTGATTGAATTTATATTTAAATTAATTAGGATTTTGATACCAAATATATTATGAAATTGTTTTAAAACCTTATCAAAATTAAAATTTGACCTTATAAAGTTAAACATTCAAAATGAACTAATATAATTTTTTCTTGTTAATTTTGGGTTTTATATTTTTTAATGAATAATTTTAAGTTTAATTAAATTTTCAAATATAATCTCACAATATCTTTCATTTTTGTAATAATTTTTTTATATGTTCTAAAAAAACTGTTGTAGATGAATTAGTTTACTAGATAAAAACAAAATTTACAAAACCCTATATTATTTAGGTTCCAAGTCTTGTAACGAGATAAGAATTATTATTCTCCAAAAATGAAAAATAATTAATTATATAATTCCTTAAAAGTGTGAGGTAGGTAACTCAATATACAGCCGCCACGATTTACAATTTTATAGCGACTGAAAATAAGTATTTTTAATAAGAATAGTTAATGGATAAAATTAAGTTGTTTATACATATATAATAAAATAAAATGTATGACTCAATTTTAATTTGGCTCATAAAGTTTCAAAAGTTAATCCTGAACAAAATCCAAATTTTAATAAATACAAACAAGTCATGAAATATAATTTTGATATATTCATTAGAAATATATTTCAAGATCACATTTGTCGCCTATCGTGTTTATGGCTGTTTAAAGTTTTGATTTTAAAGCTTAATAAAACAATATTACTTATTTCGTTTTTTTTCATTGATTATAAAAACATTTATATTATTTTAATAGCTCTAATTTCATGTAAAACTACATTAAACAAAAAAAAAAACTTTTTTTTACATAGTTAAGACTACTATGAAATGAAAAAAACAAGTGTTTTACAAAAGTAAAATTAAAAATATATCTTTTTTTAAGAATTTATATACACACATTTTTTAGAGTAAGTATTAAAAATTAAAAAAAAAAGATAAATTTTTTGCGTATGACATAAATTGAGGTAATATAAGGTAGTAAGTTTGTATAAATATACCTGATATTAATGTATTGACATTTAGGGTAACGAGGGAAAAATTTTTAATTTTTGAGGGTAATATCAACTAAATAGGATTTGTGATCTTTTGACGTATTGTTGAGAAAAATCATTCCAATAAGAACTGAGAAAAAATAGTAACAGATAAAAAAAAAATTAAATAAATAATCATATCATGGTAAAATGAATACCTTCTCAGCTTCCAATCGAAGTTAAAAAAATGGAATAATTAATTTAAATCAATGTTTGTATAACTTTTTAAATTAAAAACTAAAAATATGAATTAATAGCTATAAAACATATGTGGTTTGAAAACAATTTTATCGAGATATAAAAAAGTATGGTATAATTGCTAATAATAATAAATTTATTTCGAGAAATGTTCAATTTTTGTACTAACTTGCTTTTTTCAAGCTCTAATAAAGAAAATTTTATGAATTTAAAATATACAATTTTTATATTTTTTCATATCAAAAAAATATTGTCATAAGATGATGCTTACAAATATTCCAAATTTTAAATTTTCAATGATATCCATTTAATTGTAAATTGTATATATATCATAAATAAAAGCCTTAATTAAAATCAGAAATAATATCCTAAAATTATAATTAACTACGGAATGTCAAAATAATAGAACTTTTCTTTTTCTTTTTTAATAATTCTATGTTAGCTTCGTTGCGAAGCTGAGAAGGTATTAATTATAACAAATTTTTTTTTTTTTTTTGTCTGTCGTTAATTTTTCTCAGTTCTCACTTGACCAATTTTAATAACCAATTCGTTAATATAACACGATTTTAAACTGTAACTTTTTGGACATTTTAATCCTATTATTACGGAATTAGGAGGCTTTTTCAAAATTATGTAGATAATACCTTTAACTATGTACATTTTGTGATCGTTTGACATACCGTTAAAAAAAATTGTTATAGTTGATTAGTTTGATATACCGTCAAAAAAAAAAAACATATAATTCGGCAGAGTAATACCAATATCTTCTCAGCTACACGTCGATGCTAGTAATACAATTATAGTAGTGATTAGTAATGATAATTCTTTAGTGTTATAATTTTTCATAAATTTTTTAATATTCATTAATTTTGGTCAATGACTTTAGTTGAAAAAATAATCTTTTCTTTAAAAAAAAAAATATCTTATAATTTTAAACATTAATAATTAAGTTGTAATATAATGTTCAAATCATATGCAAGTCTACAATACATAGAAATATACTATTATGTATATTTTTCACCTACCTAATTTATCCTTTTTTTTAATATATTTCAATTTTCTAACTTTCAAAGTACAAAGTAAATGTCAAAAATCAAATATACACAAAAAAAATGTACGTAAATTTATTCTCAACTTATTTAAATATACTAAAAAATTTAAAAAATTTTCCTGGACAATTGTCTACAGCGAGGAACCGGCCATCAAAGCAAAAAAATAATGTTATTTTCAATTAAGCGAATAATTTAACATGCAATTGAATATAAGAGTGAAATTTTAAGTCATAGGAAACGTAAAATTCAAATATACGAATTAAGAAATTTAACAGATTCGCATCAAAACGACTTTTATGGCAGTGATGTTAACTACTGTCAAATATCATTTATACTTGTTCCAACTATTCCACGACTCCTTTGTTCTGGGTTTTTAATTTTCCAATAAGAGTGCTGCGTGTTTGTTACTTAAAAATTAATTGTTTTTAGATATATTGCGTATAAGTTTAATTGAACCTGAGAAAACAAAATATCTATACATTCGGTTCGTTTAACCCTTAAGCAGGCGAGTACCTATTTTTAACGTTCATAGTCGCGTGGGGATCTATTAGACCCAATTTTTAAAAAAGTATAAAATATGTATAAGAAAGTTCATTTTTTAAATTCAAAGACATTATTTGTTACCATATGATATATAAATATGGATAACAATTAAAAAATAAATAAATGACAAAATTATGTGCATTACTAAAAATTATATTACGAAAAAAAAAAAACTTAATTTTAAAAATTTCATTAAAAAATTTTGGTTTGTAAAAAAATTATTTTAACTGCAAAATCTTATTTTTAAGACGGTAAATAAAAGTTTTTACTAATACAAAATGTATTTTTATAAATTTTTTTTTGTATTTCTTTGAGCTCAAACACGGCTTATATTTATTAGTTTTATGTGTATTTACATTTATATAATAATTTTTCTAAATTGAATTTTTTTATTATTAATATTACAATTCATTTAATTATTATGACACGAGTATATACAATTATTCTGAATCTGTTGAACATTGATTTTTCTCCCAACAATCTTTGCATACTGTTTGGTATACGCGATGTATTTATTACGTGTTTTGTTCTTATTTGTTCCGTATCATCGAGTAGTGGAAATTCTCAATAGATTATTTATTTTTAAAACTTAATTGCACAGTCGGTGGTAGATCCACATAATTCCAATTTCACAATATTATATCGATTATAACATTGCATTTACGATAAAACGATATTTTGAAAAAAAATACAAGTCCAAAAAAAAATTATAACGTTACAAGTCGCGTGGGGGTCAATATGACCCATTTCAACTTTGATGGATATTTTAAGTCTTACATTTTTTTCTCGAAGGTATTTATTTATGAAAATCGATTCAGTATTACTATAAAAACCATCTTCTAAATTTTTATCTATGTACACCTTTTGTGCAATATAATACATCCGTTTTTATTTATGTGGGGGTATGCTAGACCCCCACGCGACTGTTTAAGGGTTAATGAAAATTTGTTGTTTTGAATAAACACAGTGCAATGTATTTAAAAAACGAATTTATAATCATGATTTACTTTGTATAAATATACACAAAAACTTGGTTAGAATATACATTTATATATCGATATGATAAAACATGATATAACTTGTTTTCAGTGAAGTGATGCATAAATATGTTTTAAAACAATACAATTATTCTAAAATTGACAATATGTCCAGTATGCTCTTGAATGAACATTTTTTCTCTAGGGATTTTGTATTTCCGACGGCTTGTTCCGGGAAGACTTGTTGCTGAGATCGGCGGGAGTTTGATGCGCCGCTGGAGGGTTAGACATAGACAACATGAACTGCTGTTGACCGGATGCCTGTTGCAACTGTCTGCCCAACTGACCGAGACGGTACAAAACGGCCGCTTGCTGTGATCCTGCTTCTGAAGAGTTCACCATGGCGGCCAAATTCGAGTACACTAATTCTGCGTTGCTGGATGACAATCGAAAAATCCCTGAAACAAACGTTAAAGATGAAACTCATTGACAACCAATCGACAAGAACAACATTTCGTTATAAAAAAATACACTTAAAATATCAATAGAAAATTTACACTTCTATTATTTACTAATTTATAGCTCTTTTGGAGGGAATAATGTTTTTATTAAGACGTGCTGGTTGTAAAAATATTTATATCGGCAAAAGTTTAATTTGTAAAAACGAGAGCAGAGATAGCCGAGTTTATTTTTTGAAATCGAGTTAAATTAATTGTTGGTTGAACAATTACGCACGAGCTAAATGTTCAGGTAAAATAATACCATTTCTAATACCCACAAGTCAAGAAAAACACATATTTTACATTAAACCCGATGCACTGAATTAAAACGAAGAGTTAGATGTTTTTTAATTCGATGTATTTTTATCATGTGGCAGAGGAGTTAAAAATACGTACTAATGACTAATGTGTTATGAATAACATTAAAAATTATCCGGTGAATTAATAAACTATAAAATATTACAGGTCAAAGCTATTTGTCTATTCATAAAGTGTTTGGTACAGTGGCCAAATCAACTATCCATTCTTCATTCATTAATATGACAGGAAATCGATAAAGGCACTACTTCCGTAGACTACACCAGAATTACGACTTCTGTGTACTGCTGTGAATTAATATGCGTGCAATACGTAATCATCTTAAGTTTTCAATTAAGAGTATTGCAGCGTATATACGTATATTTTTATGAGACTTTTAATGTGACGAAGTTTAAACACATAATACACGGGTTAATTTCAAGTCAAATAATGTACTCCAAAAACTATTATCTAAAAGTTGCTATGAATATTATAATATAAAATATACAATTATAATATATGAGACACGACAAATACATAAAATAAAATTGTTTTTTTATCACTTCGCTATTCGCAGATACGCAGCATTTGTTGTCAATTATGACTTTATCAACAGATATGCTTAAAGTGCGGTTGTAATACACTCTGTTGTGAGTTATGAATACACCGACTGACAATACAGAAAACATATCTGAGGATAATCATAATTGGCCATAAACGCTCCGAATCTGTGATAACGATATCAACAATTAGCTATCTGTATTTATGATCATATATTATCTCAAAAATTTGAAACTTTAAAGTTTTATATATAATAAACAAATAATGTCGTGTTGAAAATTCAAATGTCATTTCAAATTTTAGAATAAAACCTCAAACATTTTATTAAATTTAAAATATGTATTCCCGTTTGACAAAAACAAAGTAGACACCCTTACAATACATAAAAAACGAATTTAAAAAATATTACACATCTAATAATAATTCAAGAATAATATGTAAATTAAGGTACAAAAAAAATATATTTAGTCGGTAAAAACTATTCTTTCTCCAAGTTCATAGCTTTGAGACTGTCTTGAACAAACAATCACAACATAAAAATACTAACGCAATGTAGTTTTGCGAGTTGAAATTAACAAAACTTATTGTATTTAAATTGTTTTAAATTAATTAATTTATCATAGTAAATATTTATTAAATCTAGTCTATAAGAATTATTATATTAGGTAATTATTAATTACTACATAAATATAATTTATAAATAAAGCTTGAAAATTTTAAGAAATTTTATAAGGATAACTGTTAAGCTGAAACCTAAAATAAACCCACAATACTAACACCTCCAAAAGAATATTTAATTAAATTGTTTTATTATAATAAATGTATCAGATTTTTTAGTGGGCGTCCCATTAATTCAAAAACCATTTACAGTTGATTATTTAGAAAGCGATAAAGTATTTAAGATAACACAATTATACAAATCTAAATCTTAAAACATTTGAAACGATAGTAAAATGATTATCATACATATATTTATATGTATAAATATTTCAGTAACAACTTAATTGAAATTTAGATTTATAATATTAGATTGCACAGTAATTATGAGTTATCGAACAACTAACATGTAGTTTAACAATTAACAAAAGTGTGCTATACAGACATTTTATACGTCTCTCAAATCCATGAATAGATTTATTTCAACAATTATTGCAGGACACAAATACCCATAGCATAATAATTATATCCATCCAGACATCCTTCATTAACGTTTTAAAAATCGTACGCATTGAAATAATATTAAAATTATATACTCCAGCGAGTGACTGAATTTTGTTGTAGGATTCAAAAATAATTTGTGTGCCAACGCAGACATGGCCTCACAGCTGCTGGACTTTAAGTCAAGGCTTCCATTAAGTATAATACTTCCCCTCTGATTACCTAAATCGCTCTTAGNAATACTTCCCCTTTGAGTGCCTAAATCGCTCTTACTGTGCCTTTTCACTCTCTTTCTGTCCACCCAATCGCTCGATTTCAAAAATGATTTCTAAAAAAAAATCATACATAGCTGCTTCACTCGACAAAAACCCAAACAATTGTACGTTCTAAATGACACGTTAAAATTCTCTTAGTCACGGACGACGACGCACACATACTTGACACCTCGACGACGACACTAACCGCATATCACAACGGTTGCTTCTCTACGTTCGCAGAAGGCACACCTCGCACATAATAATAACAACACGGTTCACAGGCAACGGGTTAACAATGGCGCATTTAAATTGCACTGTTTTTATTATTATTATTATTATTATATTTTTATCATTATTGTTATTATTATTATTAACGACCTCACATGTATATAACAACAATATTCTTAATTGACGTTTGAATGCGTGCGTATTTAATAAATTACCATATTACTATTATTGTTATATTATGGCATTGTTAGCGTGTACACGGCGCGAGTCTCGACATCTGTCATCTCGGGGCAATAACATTGTTTCGCGGCGACGCAGCCCCGAAAATCGCCACTAACAAATCGTTACCCCGTCCGCGATCGCCCCCCAAAACGAGATAGACGATCTTCACGGGTTCAAGGGTTCGCGCCAATCACCTGCGTTTTATCCGCTTACATATCGCCGCCCAGTCATCGTGGAATGTACTCGATGTCCAAGTGACTTCGACGCGAGGAACGAAAGCGAACGAGAGAAAGATTAACCAAACAACGAACACAATGCGGTACCGATGATTAGGCTAATTCGTAGCAATAATAATGACTTAACTAATATCGACAAACTACGGGGGGGCCACCGTACGTGTGATTAAGTCATGTAAAAAGACCGCACGCATTTAATAACTCGGTGTAAACATGAGAGACTTAAGTGCATCTAGTTTGCCTACCGAATTCGCCGTATTTATGATTTTCACACAACACTGCACATTAATCGTTAATAATTCAATAAATCTTTTACTTGGTAATTTACTCGACTTGATTGGATTTCAACCCAATAATATTTAAATGCATTATTCAATTTAAGTGGAAAGTTGAGGCAAATAAGTTTATGTTTACTTTTTACCATCACATAAATGTCCGTAATTTCTCTTCGATGAAATAATAATGTTGATTTTTGATATTAAAAGCGAGTGAAAATATTTAGAAAGAAATTGACCGACATGTATTATGTCGTATAGTCGTAATTATCGCGCGACCATTGACCACCGCTTCCGGTGTACAGTTTTATTTTTTTAGTTGCCTGACAACAATGTACTCGATCCGGAATTCTATCAAAACGTGACATTATACCAAACGGGAACGGTTAAAGCCAAGCGGTCTGCGACGTTTTATTAAATTCTACAAACGTATCAGTAAGACTCGTTGAGACACCGATACAGTTTTTTCTTCTATAGTTATTATTTTAGAGTTGTCCGATGTAAGCGACCATAAAAGGCTTAGTCGGAAACGATATCGTCGTAAAGTGGAAAAAAAAAGTTACGCCAGTAAAAAAAATAAATAAACGGAGGAAAACCAATGATAACAGAATACGACCCGTTGTATGTTGACTTACCGGGAGACGATGTGGCGGCTGATGCTCCTTTTGCTACTGCTGCAGAAGAAGACGGTGGTGACCGGGCGTCCGACACAACGACCGGAGGCGGTGACTCCGAGCCACTAGACTCTGCGCCGCTGTCTGACGCTCTTGAGCTCATCCCGTCAGTTTCCTAGAAAGAACAAAAAATGTAATTAAAACAGTCAGTCCAAAGGTAATCAATTGCATCACCATCATATAAGAACGATGTCAATATAATTATACACAGATAGAGATATATGTTGCGATCCATTAATAATTTAAAGCGTTTCAAAATTATTTTTTGTAAATTCACAAAAAGAAATATCACAAATAGAAATTAAATTTTTATATGAAATAAATATTGTTTAAATAATAGAAATGTTCGTGTTAAAATACCATACCTATTTATTTGAATAATGTTTGCCTCGCTAATTTATTTAATTTTTTACGCTGACAATATAAAATAATAATTATTTATGTAATAGAAAAATTATTTGACAACTTTTAATAGTAGAGTTTTTACTTTTTAATAAATTATTTGATTTTAACAAAGTATAAAACATTTAAACAGATAAAAACAATTCATTTTTTGGAGGGAACAAATTAATAACTTTTTATCATGTAGATATACATGATAATGCTTAAACGTAGTTTCTTTGAAGTCAATTAATAGTAATAGCATCCAAAATAAAACTTTGACAACTCTGAGTGTACGCATTAATAAAAATACTAATAGTCTTTTGTTCCTCAATAAAACTAAAGGATAATTACATTCATATTAATATTGTCTACAACCGCGGTAACTAATGCTATTTGTGTTTAATAACTACAGTCGTACATTAGAAGAAAAAATGAAATTATACTTGTAGTAATGGGTGATAATTAATCATTGTTTATAATTGTTATAATAGTTATAATTGTTCAACAGGTGTGATACAGTAACACTGTTGAGAATCTTTTGAATTCTCAAGCGATGCATTTTATTAGATAAATGTTAGTAGGTACTAAATGGTTTTCACTTGTTTCGACATAACAAGTATTTTAAGACCGAAAGTATATAAATAGTATGGTAAAAATTAAAAAATATTGTCACTCTAAATAATTCATATAGACATTGTGTATTTGAAAACAAATCGGAACACAAAAAGTTGTTATGTGTTGACGTGGAACAAGTTCGTACAACATAAGAACAAATTTTATTCGAAGAAATCTGTGAACCTTAATAATGCAACGTCAAAGTTATTCACATAAAATCAACCTGCAAATGATCCATCAAAAGTTCAGACGAAACGAGTACAGAGTCATTAACGCCTACATGATTTGTCTGTCTGGTAGCGACGGATATAATAATCCATTCCAAAAATTTTTCTAGACCCCCAACTACTCCGGAGTACCGATAACATTCTCGGATCGTTGTAATTTCAGCACTACCATCTAAGGAATTCCAGTGTCCGTAATGTTTCTGTGGCTCTTTTTTTTTCGTACCTTTCCAATTGCACGTGTAGCGTCGGTCTGCGTACAGTGCGATAAAACATAATGATGGCTACCGACTGAAAATCTCCTGTACTGTACGGAGCATTTTTGCGCGCATTCTTTGAAGAAGCGTGCTTTTAATTAATGACGGATGGAGCCACTCGCGGTATTCCGGGTATGTTGGCACGGGCGAAAAAACATTGGTCCGTATGCACTCACAACTGTACCCGTGATTCGAGTATTGTTTACAAATTTCACGGATACCGACAATTGTTAGTTTATTCCCCTTTTTTTTCTTTTTTTTTATGCGCATAATTTATACCTCCCACCATTACTCCGCAGCAGCACTGGACTAATGACGACTACTATATCACTGAATAAAAAAAAAAAAAAAACTGATAATAATAAAAAAAAAAAAAAATTGCGCATACAATGGAGGTGCAGTTAAAAATACCTCTTATAAAAGAAACGTAGGAACGCGCAGGACAGATGTAGCCGCGGTGACGGGAGAGAGTAATGGGGGAAAAAAGTATCGGAGACAAAGACTGTCTGCCCCCGGTAGACGCATCGATATTGAAAAACAGACCGATCGATCCGATCCCAAGACCGAATCCCGTGGCAGTAGTGCGATGATGTGCCATCGTTGGCCGGCGACGAAGCGCGGGGAATGATCCGAATAAAACGTTTCGAAGAAAAGGTAAAGAATAATATATAATATAAAAAAATCGCAACAGGATGGCCGTTATTTATAGGTACAAGAACCGTGATTGACACTCGGAATGTGGATCTCCGTCCACCCCGACGAATACTACGCTGTAGCTTACACCGTTGGCCAATATTGTCGTCAACGGGCACGTATTACGTACAGTATACATTGTACACTGTATATGTCTTTTGTTAGAAGCAACACGTCCAAACGCAACCGTCATCATGTTATACGGTACATGGGTTTACACGCGCGTAAGATTCGATCCGAGAATCTTTGAGTGCATGTGAATTTGCCCCTTGAGACCAGAAAACGTACATCATCGGAACAAAGCTATTTTTTACTCGATGTAGATGAATCTCGAGTGAAAATCAAGTTATAAATTGGAAAACAATACATATCAGTATTTAATATTTTTGGATTCGGTACATATATTTGGAAGTTCAATAGTTAGGAGTACTAATTGCACGATTATCTCCATCTATTCCATACCACACCGCAAACGCCCAAATCAATTTATGACCGTGAATTGACTGTATTATATATTTTGAAGTGTTCTACTATTAATGACTCTCACAATTACTCCTGTGTAGAAGAGATCATTAACGGTTTGGCCGACATCACGGAAATGTCGTTTTTATGGCCGGACGTAGACGCTTGGGATATTATACACACACTGTGAGAAACAAATGATTAAAACCATATGGTCAAATCATGAGTGCAAAGTCGGAATGTTGAATGTCTAACAGTCGTTCGAGTTCAAACACACAAACGCACAAGTTTTGCTCGTCAGTGTTTACATGCACAAGATATCATTTCAAGAGCCAATTTAATTTTGATAAACTGGAAACTCTCGATAGCTTAAGGAGTCGAAGAATAGCTAATAGCTACAACACGATGTGCCTAAAAAAAAAACATCTGCAAAGAATATTTCTTCCAGTTGAATCGGTTTGTATTGCAGACGACTAATGTCAGGTACTGAAAGATCTTTAAGTGTATATTTCTGAATTAATCATGTGTTACTACGTCCATATTCTAAAAATAAATTAGTCGTAGTTTCAGTTCAAACCCATTTATGGATTCGACGAAAACAACAATATCTCATGGCATCAATCACGTGAGGGATGGCGTCGGTTTGCACGACTTTCATTTGCTAAACAAATTTTACTGTTTCATACACTTTTCCATGAACGTATTACTTGGTACTGGAACGGACGATTTTGTTTTAACACATCGATTGCTTCTTTGTAAATACCAAAATATTGCAATCATACGTATAACTTCAATATTGTATAGAAAACAAATAAAAAATTTAAGCAAAAGAAGTTCGTTGCAATTTTTCGTTTCAACTACGGCGCGCAAAAGTTCTATAGATTTAAATTGTATCTAATAATCGACGATGAGCAGGTAAGTGTTTGCCACCGGTCATCGTTTTACTTGCCGCACACGTCAATGCGTCTTTAATAATTACACAATCTTAAACAATTATCAAATACGACGGCGTGCGGTAGCAGAATCTGATGCCTACACTACGCTTTCTAATGAGTAGTAATATAATAATTATCATAATCACGTTGCACTGTCCAAGTACACTCGGCGCTATATCAACAAAATTCGTCGACGAGTATTCACTTATGTCTATTACCAGTCGTGTGCCAGACACGATAAATAGGTTTAGATTATTAGCTCTTGGATATTCAACGCGTTGATACATCAAAAATAAAACACAAGTATTTTTTCTTATAAATCCAAATGTGCCAGTAATGAGCACCTTATTGTGGAATGTCTTATGCTGTACATCAGCAGGCGCGGCGATAATTACACTGTACGCATGGAAGTACTACTGACGTTGTCGCCGCTGCTAATGAAACGTTCCAATCAAACGGTCATTCAAATTGTCAGTGGCGTGTACCCCCCGAAATGGAATCGAAAGGCACGCCGTGTTCTCAGTGTTGAACATACGTCTGTACAATATGTGTACACTTCACGAGTACTGCATTCTTGAAGGCGAAAATGATTTACGCTCGTCGATGTGGACCGTACAAACTTTTTTATTCTAACCGCCCGCTATCTGATCCCGTTGCACAATACGACGATTAAGCAAAAGCAATTTGTTTTATTGCAGCCCGCCGACGGCACGCGGTATGAGAAAACTTTTTTGGTCATCAAACAACTGTGTGATGATGAGATGATTATAATTTATCAGAACCGTTTACCTCGGGTAATTAATAACGGACGAATACTTCACCCGCTGATTTGTATCGCAGTGACGATTTAAAAATATGCTATAGGCGCAAACAATATTCATTTTTTTCTCTTGGTTTGACTCATTTACTTCAATGTGTGTTATTAACCAGATTTTCCACTTTTTAAAGATTCTTTATTGTACATAAATAAACATTATAGTGTTTAAACTTGAACAACGTATTTGCTTAAGTCAACAAAATATTGTTTATACGTTCGCCGATTTATATATAATTTTCCATTTCATAAATTTTAAATTGATTCGTCAGGTTTTTTTATTTTTTTAATAAATAAAAATTATAATTATACAGCATAACCTGATTACTTTATAAACTTGATTTTTTTTTTTTTTTATAAAATTTACTTTTTTTTTTTTTTTTTATAAAATTTACTGAAAAATGTTTTAATTAAAAAATGTCATTTGAAGAAAAAAAATACTCAACTTTAAAACACAATATCACTCAACAATATGTAATGGCGAAATTAAAGTGTCTTAATAATAGAAGCAACACTATGAGACATATAAAAAAATGTCTAGGGTTAGTCATGTCTAAAGTTCCGATGATTTAACAAAAGCGATTTTGAAGCCCATCAGAAAAACACTTTTCATAGTCTATAACGAAGGTGAATAGAACAACTTCGAAAAAAGCCTAGCGGAAATAAGAATTCGATATGGGAAAATAATAGTCAATAAATGGATGTTCCTAATGCGGTAATAAACTAAAATT